TGCATAAACCTGTATATTGCTTAGTGTTCTCTACTAATGCCTACTAACTCTCTCTCACTAAATAAAATACCTACTATAAAATTAAAACGAGTCGGTAATGATTTTAATTTGATGTATATCTAGTTGATTTTACACAACAAGCAATAGCACGGTGATCAATAAGTTATAAGCAAATCTGTAGGCGTCATGGTCGAAGCAGTCAAGGTTTCTTACGAAAACCAGCACATGTAACTGATCGTAAATAAATGTAATTAATAGAATGTCCACCTGGGAAAGTAGCCACACAAATTAACAATAATAAAAAAAACAGTTTGAAATACCAACATTAACCAAAAATTTAAATTTTTGCTATTTCCCCCGGTGAACTACGTGTACGAAGCGGGCTATAGGATTTAATACAGGTATTATAATTGTCCATTTGTGCACTAATTATAAATTTGCGTATAATAGTTATAAAATAAATAAACAGATTCCACGACACAATATCCTACATACAATCTGATATAGGTCTAGATATTATATTGATAAAAAATTTGTTCCATTGTGGAATTCTTAAATTAATAAAAAAATGTTGCTAAAATTATTTGTTGGTGTTTTTTATTTTAGTATAGAGATCCTTTTCTTAATTTTAAGAATAAACGAACGTATTAAGTTCTAACGTGCTTAGTTCACGGGTGTGAAATAGGAGTAGTTCATTGAAATCGAAAGGGGGAAAATAAGCATAATCAAGAAACGTTCAGACATTTCCTTTCAGATACCTGTAAAAAAAAACGAACCAGTGCAAAACTACGAATTTAACTAAGAAAATACCTAGTGCTTCAAATCTCAGGTCTTTTATGGTATTGAAATCACCGTCAATGCTCAGATTTAGTTAGACTCAATTCCTGACGGTTTTCCACAATTAGCCTTAGGCAGCATAGTTATATCTTAGTGTGATGGATGATGATGTCTGATAGATAATGGTATATATTTAAGATTGGCTGGAAGCTTTTAAAGCTGCCAGCCTGAGATCAACTCTCCTTGGAATAATAACTACCTTCAGACGGGACAAAGAAAAAAATGAAATATAGGGTAAAGGAAATGGATAGGGTAAGTTTATAAGGGTTTTAGGGGAACGAGGTTGCAGTAGTTGAGTCCTGGGCGCGTACCCTTGTTTTTGCCCTGTAAATGTAGAGGCTATTAGAACATCATTTTTAGGGGGTACACGAGCAGATGGGTCACCTGATGGTAAGTGATTACCGACGCCCATGGACACTACAACTTGAGAGTCTCAAATACGTTGCCACCCTTTGAGGCCTCCCCCAGAAATAGGCAGAGGGGGAGGATTTTCTCCGGTAGATCAGCGAAAGAATTGTTTAACGGCCCTTTGTGATGCCGACGTATCACTCAGGTTGTCTTGTCACAACTTGACACAATTGTGTCGAAGTATGCATCTCCCACAGGTATCAATTTACTCTTTTTAAAAACTTTCCATTCCATTCCACATTACTGTGGCAACAGTATCTACTAACTTCCTTCTTCCTTTTTCCCAAACTAGGTTGGAATTGCCTTTAAGTCTACTACGCTACGGCTGAATTTCGTTTTTTTACGCTGAGCCAATGCCATCATACCTCCGCAATTGACTGAAAGACTGTTATTGGACTTTTCAGGGCTTCAACGAACCGTAACGATTGTCACAGTGGTTCGTATGGCAACCGGGACCAACAGCTAAGCGTGCTCTCCAATGTACAGAGGGGTCTCAATGTGTTAAGAACAGTCACCCATCCATAGACTAACCTGGCTGGCTATTGCTTAACTCTGCAGTATATTAACCTATTCAGTTATCACTTAGCCACGAGCCCCTCAGTATCTACTTACTATTGTATGCTAATAAGTCTTTGTGGTATATGGTCTACACATTAATTCTGTTTGGTTCGACACCGATAAATGTCAGTAACAAATGTCATTTTCTAATCTGATATCGTGATCATTTAAGATAAATCGTTCGAAACTCCGATGAGGTGGTGTAATAACTATATTAACATATAAATTAAAGACACTTTAAGGTAGTTAAACGTATATTAGATGGCTGCGATGTAGGTATTTTGATCACATTATTGTGGGCAACATGCGTCTATACCAAGTATATACCACAAAATACAGGAGCATGAGTCCTCCGCTTTGATTTGCTTACAAATCCCTATTGATAGGAATAGTGGTTCTTATTTCTATCTATCCCTACCGTTAAGGATCTCTGAAATTTTATATAAATTTTCTGCTGATCAGTTAGACTGCTAAAAATATATTTTTTTAAAGTGCAAAATAAAAACATTTTACTTGTACATCTGAGATCTTTAAAAATAATGAATGTAAGTTGTCGGACAAATACATGTGTTTTTTTTAATGTGTAAGGAACAGAACTTACAATAAACATTTAGGGGTCTCGAGAGGTATGTATATCAGCCTTTGTAATAGTATTCTGGCCAACCCTGTATTGGTTAAAGCACGGATATTGTATACATTAGTGGAATTGTGTCTATGTTAGGTTGTATACGTACTGTCACAGGGCGACGTGGTCACATAGCGACAAAGCCACTTATTAAAAAAAAGTACATGTGCATAAGAAACCATTACTGTAAGACAAATAAACTAACATAAAATGTTTTCTATTAAAGTTCTATTAAAGACAACCATCAATTAAATCGAAATAATTTAAGACATGAAACGAAATATAAGGCACAATTGGTCACATTATTGTAGGCGTTGGTCTCAAGGATACAAATAAATAAGACGCGGAAGCTAGTGAAATGAATACTCGGGAAGTATCACCAGACGGAAGATTGAATTTACTAGATATAATTAACTAAGGTGTCAGGTCACACTTGTAGGCACACGTATCAGTAAGGAAGGAATACTAATTAAGGTAATAAAATATACCGTAAGATAATATATACACAATCATGAGAACTGGAACGAAGATCGAGATAAAGCTAGCCCTTTAAAAAAGACAGATTTGTTATCTGAGACTTGATTTGGCGTTCCCATTACACTTTTGACACGATAATTAAAATATTCTATTATATATCTAAAAGATAAAAAAAAACAATATTAAAATAGATGTAACGGATGTGATGTGACATAGACAGGTAGCAGTGTGAAGCAGGCTTTATAATCGAGTCAACTGGTTGCACATGTATGTTATACTGTATTATTTTAGTGTATTAATTAATAAATTTATATTACCTTACATACTGTGTTCACTAATATCGGAAGAGAGCATGTATGTAATCACAGCGACAGTAATTTTTTTCTGGATAAAGGTTGTTCTTTTTCTGTATTCCTGAGAACGTGTAGGAATGTAAATATTTAAGCATTTTTGTACGACAACAGATTTAAGCCTGCTACTCTAGAAAAATGCCCAGGGATTCTCTATCAGAGCGAGAGTGCGTGGACCTCCGCCGTCTCCTTCTGGGAGCAGGTTATGCTTGCGAAGGAGATTTCGGAGCGAGACCGGGAGAGGTTCAGAACCCTCCCGGCTCGTCAGGCCCGAGAACAGGCCAGGTACCGCATACGGCTTGGGCGCCTGAGGTCGCAGAGCGACCTCCGTCCTCCATAAGCGCAGGCCTGAGGGTGACAAGTGAGGCCATCTGTCACTCTAGCAGAAGCAGGCCGGGCCCTTCGGGGCAGGAAGGGAAGGGTTCCCACACAGAAGGGGTCATCTATAAGCCGTAGATGGCTCGAGGTACATCGGGGTACCAGGGCTTTCCTTTCTAAGGTATACCTGGTTCCCGGTTTTTGGTTTTTGGTCGGTCGGACCCATCTGGTCGGTTTTTGGTCGGTTCGAGTCCGAGGGGAGTTTCGCACAGAAAAAAAAAATGGGCATTCTCTATCAGTCAACCTTAGGGTGGTATAGAAGTCTCAAGATTACTTAATAGATAGTAATCAGTTTTTTATCAATCAATATATTTTACTTATTTAAATATTTAATATTTAAGAAATTATACTTATTAATATAAATGTTTAAAAAATTACTGGCTACTTGTATTCGTACACGTGTTACGAATTCGCAAACACTGTCAAAAAAAGAGACCTTGCTTTGATAGTAAATGCAATGATGTTGATATTTATAACATTGTAGAGAAAAAAATAAAGAGCCCATTATATAAAGAACTAATATTATGTGCTCGGAAATTATATTTTTTGCCCTGATTTAGATTGTAACGACTAATCACTTTACAATCCGCATTTTTGGCAAGTACGTTTGAAACTGGTTTTACATGTTCGTTCCAATTAATATTCACAACATTTATTTTTTAATAAGCACTAGTACTTATATAAATATATTACTTACATCTATGTAGTATATCTTTATATATATAATTCTTCTGTGAGTGTGTATGTAACTGAACTTCTCTCAAACGACTGGACCGATTTTGATGAAGTTTTTTGTGTGTGTTCAAGTGGATCTGGGAATGGTTTAGATTCACAATTTTGTCCGCTGGACAATGTTTTTTTAATTAATTTTTAATTTATTAGTAGTTGTTGATTTTGGAATGTTTTACATTGGATCCGACAGACGGCGCTACCATCGCAGTGTCAAATTTGACAGGACAACGTCTGTCGGGTCCGCTAGTCTGTATTATATTCTTTATAGAGACCATCTATTAGGGTTGTCAGTTCAAATATTACAAAAATCTACAGAGTTTTTTTCTTCACGTTCAAATTATAAGCAGTTAGTGTTCTATGTGTATCATGTACTTAGTGCAAAATAAATATGCCTTCAGTTTTTATGTAATATTAGAGTCTACTTATAGATTATAGTAATTCATATAACGTACTACCTTTTCTTGTATGTTGCGCACTAAATTTGACTTTGACACCCCTGTGATAGCCTGATCCGGCCCAAATCTCAAGTTCGTCAAGTGACCGCTCGTGACAGCCGCAGGACAATCGTCTGTATATAAACCCGCTTTGGTATGTAGCGTGCATCATTCGATCAGTGAAATACTTCAGGATCAGAAATGGCAGCTAAGGTAGGACTATAAGTTTTTTTAATTCAATGTTACCTAAAATGAATTACATTGAATCAATACGAATCAATCGGAAATACGATTGCATTTTAACATACTTTATTCCACACTAGATGCTTCTTCTAGATATTTTTTACTATGCTTATTAATTTAGTTCAAGCTTTAAGCACTTCAACACAAAGCTTCGAAATCTAAAATCTACCGCTTCTAAAATCTCTAACCGTCATTGTGACGGTTAGAGATTTTAGAAGCGGTAACTAAATGAGTGTCTTGTTTTACGGGTGTCTAAATAAACCTACAAAAGATTGGGTCTTGATATTTACTGAGATTGTCATTCTAATTATTATTTTTTGCAGTTCGTAGTTCTTGTCGCCCTCGTGGCCGTGGCCCACTGCTCAGTGGTGCCAGTAGTACAAGTAGACGCTGACTACAACAGTTTCGCGTACGACGTAGCCGACCCTAACACCGGTGACTACAAAAGCCAGGTCGAGTCAAGAGTCGGTGGCAATGTTGTCGGTCAGTACTCTCTGCTCGATGCTGACGGCACCAAACGCACTGTCGACTACACAGCCGATGACGTGAATGGCTTCAATGCTGTCGTACGTAAAGATGCTGCTGTAATCTCATCTGCACCAGCTGTTATCGCAGCCGGACCTGGCGTTGTCGCTGCACGTTCTCTAGTCTCTCCCGCGGTCTTCGGCGCTCCTCGTGTTTATGCTGCTGGTGCTGTACCCTCAGTATACTCTTCCTATGGCGCTCCCGTTGTTTACTATTATTAAACATTAACTACCAACAATATACAAAACTTTCAGTAATGGCGCTTGGTTGTAAATATTATCACCTAAGTAAAACGTGAAACAACAATCTAAGTTTTATTTTCCCCAATTATATATTTACAGAATAAACTGTTAAATTTAGTTACCATATTGAATATAATCCTAAATATTGATAGGAAGATCTTCATCAACATCATCTTAACCAAAAGACGTCCACTGCTCGACGTGGGCATTCCTCAAAGTTCGCCAATATGCCCGCGACATTGACCAGCTCTTCGGACATCCGGAAGACGGAGACAGGAGTATTGAGTTTGGTCATTCAACGTTGTAAAGATAATAAATATAATTTGCATGTTTATAGGTAAATAAATAATAGTACGAATATGTCAGTTAGAAAGTTTATAAAAAATTGCAAGAACCTGCTGGATACTTCTCTTTTACAAACAAACAATTAAAAATTATTAACGTCGTCTCATTTATAATTTTATTTTTCTTATGAGTCTTTTGTACTTGGCTTGTTTATTGCTGACTGTATTTTCACCACATAAGTTGAATTTGTTCCTGCTCTATGTATGTAGAACTAAGCTTTCTAAGAATAGTTCTATATAGGCACTTAGGACCAAATCTGACCCTACGGAACACAGTGTCTCCGTCTCAGCGTGTCTTTGGTGCTACAAAGTAAATTCACTGATAACAAAGGTCTTATGAGTAACAATAAAATGGAACGTCAACGTAAACTATGAGAATACAGATTAGCTCATTATTCACTTCTTACCCCACATAAATATGAGCATGTAGATAAAACCTTCCTAAAATTACATTATTATGTCTACTGATGGTTGTAACGGTTGATGGTGAAATATCACTGCAAAAATTACACCTGGAGATGGAAGGGAAGTATAAAAGATTTTTTGTTACAATTTTACTTACACTCTAAACTAGACAAATACTTCCAGGAGGGCATTAAATTTCAGTAAATAGTAGTCGCCAACGTAACATTATTAAACCATACATAATGAAATTTCAAGTATCTTACGTCTAGTTAACTATATTTTACATTTAGAAATTAAAAACAAAACTATCAATTGTGAAAATAGAAACTCAATACTCCGTGATAAGATGACTGAATGAACACGTATATTCAATATGAAATTGGATGAGATTCTGAGAGAAGTGATGTGCGACGCTGCACTATTCACTAATGGGTAACAATACTCACATCGAAGTTTAGCATTAACCAGAGACATTCAGAATTTCATATTAATGCTTTATGGTAATACGTTGTAAAGGTCACCACGCCGCTTACTACTACGCTGAATACTATTTCTTAGTAAGTCTTAGCAGCGTTAGAATTCACATCGTCCTAAGAAACGAGGAGGTTTAAAATTTGTCGTAATGTTTTTATTTTTATCAATGTAGTCTCTTGAAAGCGTAATCTTTTATTAGTCTCATTGTTACTAAGCCACAATTCGATGATGAGACTCTGTAACGATCGATGTAGTTTTTTATACTATTCACCTTATGCCTTAGCTCTTGGATTCATTTGGTGCTAAAGACAATAGATAATCACCGGAACTAGTTGCATAAATGTTATCAGGAATGCGAATCCAGTTTTAATATGGTCTAAAGAAACGTGTGTTCGTCACAGTGCTTAGTGTTTATTATACGGAGAGCTCTTCAACAACGTCCCTGCATTAATAAATAACTACCTGATTCACTCAGAAAGTATACAAAAATAAATAAAAAATATATCTTTAAACTGAACTAGAAAAGTTGGGATGACCATACATCATCCAATACTTTAAGCTGTATTGGATGCTGTATTGGAAGCTTAAATCACACAAACTATAAAATAAATTCAAGCTTGCATTATCAATGTAAAATTATTTCATTGATCCCCCCGCATCTCAATAGCGTGTCAGTGGTATGACAGTGGCTTGGCGTGAACATAAAATAGCAGCATTGCGGCCCTGGCCTTTCGCCAACGTAACATTATTAAACCATACATAATGAAATTTCAAGTATCTTACGTCTAGTTAACTATATTTTGCATTTAGAAATTAAAAACAAAACTATCAATTGTGAAAATAGAAACTCAATACTCCGTGATAAGATGACTGAATGAACAACGTATATTCAATATGAAATTGGATGAGATTCAGAGGGAAGTGATATGCGATGCTACACTATTCACTAATGGGTAACAATACTTCATGAACAATACTCACATCGAAGTTTAGCATTAACCAGAGACATTCAGAATTTCATATTAATGCTTTATGGTAATACATTACTATTATCTTGACTGCACGGATGGCGTAGTGTTGTAAAGGTCACCACGCCGCTTACTACTACGCTGAGTGTTGTGGGTCCGATCCCCTAATTGGGGGCGACACTTTATATGATCTATAAAGTGTTGTTCTGGGTCTGGGTGTTCTTTGTGTCCTTTTTATGTATGTTTGTAAAGTCCCCCGCGACACAGGATATATTTCTAATGCGGAAGGCGTCTTCACCAGGTTCGCCATGCAAGTCAAGGCACACAAGTGTATTGCTGCACTTTTATGGGGTGGGTAAAAAGCATCGTAGGAATTGCTCAATTTTGACGTCATCATTATCACTAATTGCTAATTTATTTGATCCAGAGTAAACGGTGTCCATATACGTATCGTTCAGTGTAGTGACGGATTAAGAAAGAGAGTGTCATCACCCCGATTCATCCTGTCGGTTTTGTAAGAGGTGACTAAGGGAGCACACTACGCAGGGCAACAGCACTGCAAAGAGAAGGAAAACTTGACACAAACCTATATCAACCCGTCTGGTCAGCGAGGTATAGCAGGCCAAAACCTCCTTTATAAGGAGAGGCCTATGTCCGGCAGTGGACTTTTAAAGGCCGTTGATGATGATGATGATGAAACGGTATCCCATCCCGAATTATCCTATTAACTTCTTGCCATTGCAAATGTTTCTGTGGATATAAAAAAATGAGCAAAGTTCATAGACTTTTTGGCAGTGAAAACCGGTCTGTAGGTACCTTTAACTATCTCGTGGTATGAAACCTTAAGTACCAGAATATAGGTTATAATGAAACCATTACGTAGTTATAAGCTGTTGTCATATTTTTAAAACCATACACATGCCTAAAAAACATAAATGTCGAGTGGCAATTAGGAAATAGTTTGAACACATAGATCAATTTAAATTCTTTTAATTACCTACACACAATACAGGTTTCTATTAAACTTGGGAGTCATATAGTGATCGGAAAATGAGTATATAAGCATACTCATATTTGGTATGGCATCATTCAATCAGTGAATCTCTTCAGGATCAGCAATGGCATCTAAGGTAAATTGGTGATCTTACACAAGCAAAATCATTTCTTTTTTAAATTTTGGATTTTATTTTGAACTAACTGAATTCTTACTTTTGAACTGTCAAGTTTCTTGATTATAAGTATAAGCTATTATAATTACGTTTATACGCGGGAGTTAATGTGATCACGTAACAGGTATTAGGTACATACCGTGAATTGTTTGACAATTCAATCAGTGATATCTGTTCCCGTATGTGTACGAGAAAATAATTTGATTGAATTCAATTCGAAATTTGCACATTGACGATGTCATTTACTTTTTAAAATTAATGACAATTATTACTTTTTTGCAGCTCGTAGTTCTTGTCGCTCTCGTAGCCGTGGCCCACTGCTCAGTGGTGCCAGTAGTACAAGTAGACGCTGACTCTTCCAGCTTCAGTTACGACGTAGCCGACCCCAACACCGGTGACTACAAAAGCCAGGTGGAGTCTCGAGTCGGTGGCAATGTTGTCGGTCAGTACTCTCTGCTCGATGCTGACGGCACCAAGCGCACTGTCGACTACACAGCCGATGACGTGAATGGCTTTAACGCTGTCGTACGTAAGGATCCTGCTGTTGTTGCTGCCCCTGTAGTTGTTAGTGCTCCTGTAGTTGCTACTGCTCCAGTAACAGTTGCTGCTGCCGAACCTACTATTGTGGACGCCCGCAGCTTCGCCTCTCCCTTGGTATACTCGGCTGTTGGTCTACCTTCCATTTACCCTGCTGGTGTTGGTGCCCCTGTATACGCTTCGCGTCTGCGTTTCAACTCCCCACTAGTTTATTCTTCATACTGGTAAAATGATTTCATGGTCGATTCGCAGTTCTCTGTAAATGTCTGTAAATGTAAATAATAATAATATAGTGTGTCATTTTTTTGTTAAATAAATTGTGAAACTATCGAATCTTGGTCTTTCATCTTTCTTAACTGAAGTAACTTCACCTACTGCTCACAGTATATTTAAAGTGAAAATCTGCTTGATGTGTTTCATAAAACCACATAAGTTCAGAATAATGGCACTTCTAAGAAATGTTTTTGAAAAAACAAAAAAAATTAAACGTTGACTCGAATGAAAACGATGTTTTCGTTTGTAATCCCCCATAGTAAAAGAAAAAGCCTGTACTAGAATGGATTCTAAGTAGAGTTAAAGAAAGTTGAAGAGAAACATTTATTTTAAATAAGTGTTTAAAAAATAACAAAGAAGCTAAAATTATCTTAAAGCTAAATGATAAATATAGGTAAAAAATAGGTTATTAGCTGAACCTCTAAGTAAGTATGTTGAAGTGAGTGAGACAAGGTACCTCTGCCACATGGAAAAATACATGATACTTATTCTTTTTGACTACTTGTTTACCATCGAAACAAACATGAGTAAGACGGACTTCGTTTTTTACACATTGTAAATTAAAAGCTATAATATAGGCATAACATTGTAAAGGAAGGCTTTGGTAGCCTGTCTTACTTACCTTCCTTGGAAAAAATAAACGTTTTCGGGAGTAAAAAAGCAGAGTAAACAGGCAGAATGATGGAGCCAATGTAAGGAAACCTTGACTGCACTAATGGCGTATTGGATTAAGCGGTCGCCTCGTCGTTGCCTACTGCGCTGTTTATGCAATTGGCATAAGTTCGATCCTCACATGGGGCAACGCTTTGTGTGATTCACAAATTATTTTTCTGAGTCTAGGTGTTCTTTGTGTACGTCTTATGATACCCAAGACACAGGATATATTACTAGTGTTGGAGTTGTCTTACAAAAAATCGCATGGAGAAATGGAACTGAGATTGTCTTATGTTGAATAGGCCAGGTCTAGGGCAAGGATTTCCACTGGTCAAAAGCATTAATTATCTCAAAATCTAATTAATATTAATTTTAAGAAATAGAGTTAGAAATAGTTAGTTAGTAGAACTGCTCTAGTGGTTAGTGACCCTAACGTCACAGGATTGGACGACCGAGTGTGAGATGTGTCAAAATAATTATTTTGAAAAATCAAACATAGCTGAACAAAGTATCAAATTTAATTGTTTTTGTTTGCTTTGTTTCACATCACGTCTACAGCCTTTAATAGTCCACTGCTGGTCATAAGCCTCTCTTTAGAAAGGAGGTTTTGGCCTACTTTACCACGCTGGCCAGGCGGGTTGGTATAGGGTTTGTGTCAAGTTTTCCTTCTTTCTGCAGTGCTGTTGTGCTGCGTAGTTTATACTTTTTGCTGTATATACTATAATATTATTATACATAATAATAAGAATTATTTATTTCAGACCATAGTGCTGCAGTCCATAGTATTAGTGTATTAGTAACAATTTGCTTATAATTAAGTTAGTATTATTAGTATCATTACATTAAATTTATTTTTATAATACACCTATATTGATTTCTAAGGACAGGCCTATGTCCAGCAGTGGGCTTTTAAAAGTTGTCGATGTTGATGATGATACTATATAACTGCCCTTACCCAATGTTTTTGAATAGGGCGGTCGAACGTTGCAGCAATGACTTTCAGAATGCTGTTGTTGGCGTTCCGCAGACGCTGCAAGATGATAGCTATTTTTTTACGAATTATCGCCTTGAACCCGTCACTTGTATACTGCTGAACATAGGCCTCTCGTATTCTTTAATTTCAATATCATTCTTAAAGCATTGTTATACTGAATAAGAAGGGTGTCGTAGGATGAACGCGTATACCTTACCCACAGGCTACTCGAATAGAAGAACTGGCAAAAATGCTTCAAAAAACGTTATCTTATCTTAAATATTCTTATAATAAAGATCATCTGAAGTTTTTTGTTTGTTTTGTTGAAATCAGTAAGTTTCTGAAAATAATAGATAACTTTACATATTTTTCTTTTACATACGATTCCTTGGAGTCGTCGGTGAAAGGAATGGCTAGTGTATATTATAAATAGATCAACTGGTGGAAATTAAAAATATTTAATTTTAAAGGCAAATTTAAAAATTTTAAAGTTTTGGTCCCTTGAAGGACGAAGTTTAATGTTTTATTCTAAATATCATGTGTTATCAAATATTTTATGGGCGAAGTAGGTAGTGCCTAAGGCTCAAATAAGAATGTCCTATAGCAATTAGGAAATGATATAAACTGATAAATTAATTTAAATGGGATTCATTACATACGTTACATAGTTTCGACAAAACCTGCTTTTAAAATACCTTAAGTAAATATATATGTAAGTATATAAACAGACTCTTCTTAGCATAGCGCATCATTCAATCAGTGAATCTCTTCAGGATCAGTAATGACAGTCAAGGTAAGAACTATGGATTCCATCAATCATTATGTACGAACAAGCAGCCTTTTATGCAATTATAACGTAGTTTGGCTTTCATTTTAATATCTTTTCATTTATGTCCTAGTATGGAATTAAAAAAAACGTCCAATTTGAATTGGTAGAGACAAAAAATAGTAGAGTATTTATAATAGAACAGCACACTAAGAATGACAAGACAAAGTATTACTTAACAATTGAGATTGATCAAACACCTTGTAATCTTGTTAACCTGAGTAGATGCAATCTTCTACTGAACAGAGAGACTTTACTAAATAAATCTGCCTAATGCAATACTGTTGTTTTTTATTAATAAAATACTAATATCACTGTTTCCTTACAGTTCGTAGTTCTTGCCGCTCTTGTGGCTGTGGCCCACAGCTCTGTGGTGCCAATAGTGCGAGTAGACGCTGATTCTTCCCACTTTAGTTACGAGGTAGCCAACCCAAACACAGGTGACTTCAAGAGTCAGGCGGAGACTCGCGTCGGCAGTAACGTTGTTGGACAATACTCATTGCTCGATGCTGATGGGACTAGACGTACCGTTGACTATACAGCTGATGACGCGAATGGTTTCAAAGCGATTGTTCGGAAAGATCCAGTTGTTCCTATTGCGCCAGTAGTACCTGCAGTTCGGGCTGAAACTGTATCTCCTGTAGAATCTACAGCTACTGCTGACTCTTCCAGCTTCAGTTACAATGTAGCCGATCCAGCACCCGGCGACTTCAAGGTCAGGTGGAGACTCGCGTCGGCAGTAACATTGTTGGACAATACTCCTTACTCGATGCTGATGGTAACCAAACGTACCGTTGACTATACAGCCAATGATGCGAAATGGATTCAACGCGATTGTTCGTAGGATCCAGCTGTGCCAGTAGTATCTGTAGTTCCCGTTGAACCTGAAAGTCCTGTAGGACCTGCAGTTACCTCTGAACCCATAAGTTCTGTAGAACCTGCAAATTCCGTAAAATCCGCAAGTCCTGTAGGACCTGCAGTTACCGCTGAGCCCATAAGTTCTGTAGAACCTGCAAATTCCGTAAAATCCGCAAGTCCTGTAAAACCTGTGGCATCCGTTGCTCCTGTTAACTTTCGTTGTATCTTCTGAGCCTTCAGTGGTCGACTACCGCAATTATGCTCATATATTCAGACCTTTTGGAATCCCTTCAAATAAATTTTGGGCCAGGCCCCCTTTAACCCTTTTGAAAAATTTCTAATAATTATTTTAATTGTAAGAAATTTTTACTCAAATTTTAAGAAAAAATTTTTTAATATTTAAAAAAGGAAAAAAAGGGATATGCCCTTAAATTTTTTAGAGAATTTACCTGGTTAAAAAGGGGGGCCCCCCGAACCAAGGCCCTAATTTGAAAAAACCATGTTTTTTAAACTTACAAATTTGGTCCTTCCAGGGATTTCCTTGCGGTTGGCTGGCTTACATCTTTTTAAATTTATAATTTTAAGGTGTTTCCACATGGGTCGACACCCCAACCAAAACCCCTTCAAATGGGGACGGCCCAAAAGTTTTGCCAAAAAATTGGGGAATTTTTTTTTAAACCCTGAAAACCAGACCGCCCCCTTTGGTCACCCATTTTTTCGGAAACCATTGTTTAAAATGTTATTTTTTTAGAAAATTTAAACCTTTTTTTGAAAAAATTTTTTTTTTAGAAATTACGTCGGCACTAAAAATTTATTTTGAGGACTTGGATCCCCGGTGTTTCCCCCCTCCTTGGCCTTTCCTTATAAAACAATTTAGTTTCCTCCCCCCTTCCCCCAAAGCTTATTCCCTAAAAACCCTTGATTTGGCTTAATTTTTTAAAATTAAAAACCCAAAACCCCCCCGAAACCGACAATACGTAAATTTCCCCAACCCAAATTTCCAAAAATTAAATCCAAAACCCCCGGCCAAAACCTATTTTTTTGGGCCGGGGGGGGAAAAAATTACCAAAAAAACCGGCTTAAGAACCTTCCCCCAAACGCCCCTTTCCTTTTTGTTTAAAAACCTTCGATATTTTTCCCCTCCCTTTTCAAATCAGGGTTATGTATAAAAATATTTTTAACTAAAAAAATGTTTTGGAAGAAGGGGAAATAAGGGTTTTCCTAAACCCTATTTAAAATTTTAACCAGAATGACCCTTTTTTCCTCGATAAAAATTTTTTAAAAGTTCCCGGTTAGCCCCGGGGGAAAAAAACCCCCAAAAAAAAATAGGTTTGCCCATTTTGGGGGAAACCCCCTTTCTCTTAAAAATTTTGTACTTCAGGGAATTCCAGGTACGGGGACCCTTTCCAGGGGGAAAAAGGGGCCCGGCCCCCCCCCCCTGGACAAAGGTGTTCGACTCCAAAAAACCTAACTTGAACCCCGCCCCCCCTTTATTTAGGGTTTTGAAAAGGGAACGAGGGGTTGTCTTCCCTTTTTCCCGGAAAATTGTTTTGAAACTATTTTTCATTTCGGTTTTTTTGGGGGGGAAAAAAATTTTTATTTTTTGGCCTTTTATATTTCTTAAACTTTTTTATTTTTTTTATCATTTTAAGCATTTTTTTGTATTTTTATTTTTTTTTTTTTTTTTTTTATTTTTTTTGAAAAATTTTTTAAAAATTGTTTTTTAAAAATTTTTAAAGAAGCCCCTTTTAGTTTTGCGGTTTTTTTTTTTTTTTTTTTTTTTTTTATAAAATTTTATTACTTTTTAAATAAAATTTTAAAAAAAAAAAAACATTTAAAAATAAAAAAAAATATAGACCACCGCCCGGGTACAGGGACCAAAACCCGGGGTTTGGGGCTCCCAAAAAAGGAACCCCCTCATATACGAGCCGGAAGGGGGCTTCCCCCAAACCCTTATCCAGTCCCAAGGGTCTGGTTTTCGGGCGGCTAAACCTACAAACGATTCAAAGACAATTTAAACCCCCTATAAATCTTTTAAATCCAAATTTTAAAGTTTTTTTTTTAATTTCCGGTTTCGCATAAAACCTTTTAAAAAAATTCCGGGGTTTAAATCAAACAAATTGGGTTTGGAACTGCCTTCTGTTAAAAATTTATCCCAAAATTTGGGCCATTTGGAAAAAGGGGGGGGCCATCAAAGGGATTTAAAACAAAAGGATTTAAAAAATTTGGTTTAAAGGCTTTTTTTCTGGCAAAATTCCCGTTTCAAACGGAAAACCCCCAAAAAAAAAACCCCCATTTATTCCCAAAATCATCCCGAAGAGTCAAACCCCCCTTTATTTTGAAAATTTTGTTAGTTTTTCGTTGAAATTCGTCCTAAACCCAAAAAAAAACCCTCGTTTTCCCCAAAAACAAAGGAAAAAAAGGGAAAATTTTCCGGCCCTTTAGGGCCCGAAAAACCCAAAAACCCCTTTTTCTTTCCCGCGATCAAACCCGAACGGGGGGCAATTCTTTTGCCAGACGGGGGGGCCCCTAAAATAGGGAATCCCATGTTTTTGAAAAATTTTTAAACAAAACCCCCTTTTTTTTTTTAATGGGGCCCACCCCCAACTTTTGGGGATTTAAATTTAAAAAAGGGGTGGGGGTTTATTTGGGTGGGGCCCGTTTTCATTCCCAAAAAAAAATTAATTGTCTTTTCCCTAAATATAAAAAAACTTTAGCCGGTTTAAACCCAAAAAATGGATCCCCCTTTTCCCCTGATAAAAAATCTTTTTTGGGCCAAAACGTTTTCCCAATTTTTTTTAGTTAGTTCTTATTCCCAACGATTTTTTAAACCCAAAATTTTAAGTTTCATGGGGCAAGATCTTTTTTAAACCAAAAGTTATTCCTTAGTTAACTTCAACCCCTTTTAAAAATTTCGCCCCAAAATTTTTTTAAAACCCCCCTTTTTTAATTCTAAAATTTGCCCCTTTTGTAAAGTCAATTTAATTTTTTGGGGGCTAAAATTTCAAAAAAAAAAAAAGATTGAGTTAATTTATATTTTTTAAAATATGTTGGAACCCCCCCATAAAAATTTAAGATTTTTAAAACCAGACCCACAAGGGGGGTTTCCCTTGAAAAAAGGGGTTTTTTTTTTTGCTAAAAGGTAAACGCTGGGCCGCCCCTGGGAAGGTGCCTTTACCCCAAACAAGAAGAAAGTGCACAGTTACTTTTTTTAACCCCCATTAAAAACCTGGGGTTTGGCCAAAATTTTTTTATAATTTCCCCACGCGCCAAATTTTTCCCAAATTTTGGAAAATTTATGTGGATCATGCCACGGGGCCCCCTCCCATTCGGAAAAAATCCTTTTTGGGAATTTTAAATTAAAATTTAAAAAAATTTTGGTTTAAAGTTTGGTTTTAAAATTGGAAACATTAAAAGCAAATTTTTTTATCCCCCAAAACTTTAAAAAAATTGGGGGAAAAAAAGGAAAAAGGGGAATGCCGTCCAACCCAAAAACCCCCCGCCCTGGTTCAACCACTTTAAACCAAAAAAAATCCCTGGAACAAAAAGGATTTAATTTGGTAATGAAAACCCCAAAAAACCCCCACAATTTTTTAAATTCCCAGGGAAAAAGAAAGAGGGTTAACCCAAACCCATTCCGGGGGTCACACGACCAAGGGACCCAAAATTTATTTTCTTTTTTGGCAAAGAACCCCAACGGGGTTCCCCCCATTTCCTACACCCACTTTATTTTCCGGAAATCCGATTTTGATTTAAAATGGTTTTTTTTCCCCCCCTAAAAAGGAAAATTTTGCTTTAGAAAATTTTCCCTTTACAGTGTTTGGGGGAAAGGATTCCCCAAAAGGGTTTTTCCAAACCCATGGCCGCTATTTTCCCACGGACTTGCTTACGGAGTTTCCTCTAAAAAGATTCAAATTCCAAAAATGGGACGGGGGTTAGCGATTTTGAAAGTTTGAATTTTTCCCCCCTCGCGCTCAAACCCACAAATTTAAAAGGACCCTTTTTTTATTCTTTTGGGAAAAAACCCGGCCCCCCCCGCGCTAAATTTTTTTGAAGGGAAAAAAAAACCGGGGGATTTAATTTAAAAAAACGGTTTGGGCCCCGTTTTTTTCCCGATGGGAACCCGGGTTCCCCTTTTCTCCATGTTTTAAAATTTGTTTGACCAAATTTGGGGGGGGTTTTTGAACCCCCTTTTAAAAAAAGGGGTATTAAACTATTCCCCTTTCGGCTTTTTTAAATTTTCCCTAGAAATTAATTTTTTGTCCAAATCTTGTTAAGTTGAATGGGAAAGTCCAAAAAAAGGATTTGACCTCGGGAGTTTTTTTTTTTCCCCCCCTTTTTCCCCTTTTTTTTTTCCCGTAAATTTTCATTAAAATTTTTATTACCCAAAAAACCACCGGAGCGGGGTTTTGGGGCCAAACCCGGATCCCGCTTCTGGGGGGCCTGTCCCCGGGAGTAAGGGTTTGGGGACCGGGGAAAAACCTCGTCCTTAAATTTAGGGCCCCAACGCCGGAACTTCTGGAACTTCCAAAAAACCCAAACGGAGGGACAAAATGGGGTTTTTTTTTCGGCATGGGTTTAAAATTTTTTCAATTTTTTTTTCTTTTAAAAAATTTTTTTAAAATTTGAATGGCCGTTTCTCTGTTTATAAAAATTTTAAAAAATATTTTTTAAAAAAATTTGGTTTAATTTTTTTAAAAAAGGACCTTTTCAATCATTTTGTTTTAAATTTGGGGTTTAAAATTTTTTAAATTTTTTTTTAATTCCCAAAAGGAAAAACCCCCAAAATTTTTTCTTGGTTTCTTTTATTTTAAAATTATTAATTCATATAATTTTATTTTTTTAATTTGTCAAAACCCCGTCTTTTTGAAATTCCGTTTTTAAGAAAAATTTTTAAAAAAAATTTAAATTAGGCCTTAAAAAAAACAGCCAAAGCTGGCCCCACTTCCGGGGGTCCCACCCAAGCCGGTCGGGGGGGAAAATTTTTTTCCCAAAAAGGGTAAAAAATTTTAAAAATTTCCCCAAATTTTTGAAAAAACTCAGTCGATTAAGTTTTTTTAAAAAATCTGGATTAAATAAATATTTTAAAAAAGGGGAAAAGCAATTTCCCAAAAAAAGAAAACACACGTTACCTTTTTTATTTCAACAAATTTATTTTTTTTCGAAAAAAAAATCTTTGTTTGTAACCAGAAAAAAAAAAATGCTTCTTTTCCCTAAAAGCCTTATAGGATTTTTCAAAACCAAAAAAATTTTATTTGGTTAAAATTAATTTTTCCCCCCTGATTCCAATTAATTTAGTTCAAAATTTTCCCAACAGATTTTGAGTTTTTTGGTAAAAATCTAATTTAAAAAATTTAACTTTCTTCAAAAAATCAGGTTTAACCCCTAAAAGATTTTTTAAAAAATTTTTTGTTTTTAAAATGGGCAAAAGTATTTGGGGCCCTTTTTTCACCCATAAAAAAAAAAAAAGTTTTTTTTGCCTTAGGGTTTTTAGTTTTTCACATTTTTTAAATTTTGAACAAAAAAAAACCCAAAAAAAAAATAAAAATTTTTCATTTTATTTTAAAATTTTTCTTTTTAAAAGATTTTTTCGTGGCACCCCTAAACCAAAAAGTAAAAAGGGGGGGGGGAAAATTTTTTTAAAATCTTTTTAAGAGTTGTGAAACAAAATTTTTAAAATAAATTTTTTTTATTTTAAAAAACACTCTTCATTAAACCCTTTTTTATTGTTGTGTTAAAGGGGGGGGAAAATTTCCCTTTGAAAAGCTTTGTTTTTTTTTAAAAAAATTTTTTTTTTTTTTTTTTTAAATTTTTTAAATTTAAAAAAAATTTTGTAAAATAACAAAAATTTTGTTTTTTTTGGGTTTAAAAAGGGAAAAAAAAAAAAAATTTAAAAAACCCCAATTTCCCAAATTTTGGAATTTTTGAAAAAATTTATTAAAAAAAAAAATTTTGCCCCTTAAAAAAGGTAAAAATTTTAATAAAAGCAAATTTTAAAAATAATTTTATAAAAAAAAAAATTTATTTTTTTAAAAGATACGCCGTTTTAAAAAAATTAAAAAAATAAAAAATTTTAAAAACTAATAAAAGGAATTTTTTTTCCCAGTTTTTTCAAGTTTTTAAAACCAAATTTAAAGGGTTTTTTTAATTTGTTTTACTTTTTTTTTTTTTTAAAAAAAAAAACTAAAAAATTTGTTATTTTTTTTAAAATGAAAAAACAAAAATAATTTTTTTTAAAAAAACTGGCTTTAAAACTGCCGAATTGGGAAAAAATTTTGGGGGGTTCCAAAATTTGTTTCCCTTTTTTCCCCGGGTTCTTTATTTAAACCCTTTCTGTCTAACTTTATTGGGGGGAAATTTTTTTTTTACAAAAAGGGACAATAGAAATTTAAAAAAAGTTTTTTAAAAATTTTTTGCTTTTTTTTTCCTTTTTTTTAAAGGCAAATAAATAGAATGTTTTAAAAGTCATTAACAATTAGAAAAAAATCAAAACCCCCTTTTTTTTTAAAAAATTAAAGGGCCCCTTTTCCCCAATTTTTAAGGGATTCAAAGACTTGAACAAAAAAATTAAAATTTTTCTTTTGTATTAAAATAAAATCACAATATTATCACTATTATAGTTAAATAATTGGACATCTAAACAATATTTATATCATACCTCAAGAATTTTGTTGATTAGGTATACAAGTTAAGAAAGTTAAAAAAAAACGACGAAGTGCTTCAAGATATGGTTGGCAGTGCCCTTGCGCTTGGCTTGACTCGTTTCGGTAGGGTAAAATTTAACCTGGGGGCACTTACGTTTTTTTGTGAGGCCATCTTTCCGAAGTATGACTCTTCCACCGTTAACAATTGTAACCACTTAATTTTATGTAACTGTTAAGTATGTCAAATTTTTTTTCAATACTAATACGTTTTCTAGAAGAAAAAGATTGGGTGAGGAAGCTAGATGAAGGGCTGCCATAAGCCTCGGGATGCGAAACATAACCGAAACTACAGCGGCTAGAGGACGGAGTCACGGTCAATCTCAGGATTGACACCTGGTCGATCTTGCGATTAGACAGGCTAAGACAGGGACAGTAACTGACCAAGTATGATTAAAATATATTAAGGCAATTAAAACCTTAGCAAAAAATACGATCACACAAGAAATTATATAACATAACAAGTAAACCAAACAAAATAAATTATTTGATTGGTTAATTAATAACACAACTTCAATTGACTTGATTGTAAAAGTGACATAGAACTAACAACATGCCAGTACGAAGACTAGTGAGGTATAGTTCAATTTAATAGAGGATATGTAGTATTTACTGAGTTTAGTTTTGTATTTCTGCAACTAGGAAATGAATTAACGATGGTTCCTATATGGGCATGCGCATATATAAGTTCAAACTTTTTCACTATCGCTTTACACACATAAACTTAAAAGACGCACATACCGATATAATAATAGTTTAATGAATCGAAAACAGGATTTGATCTCGAACCAAATAAAAAAGGATAAAATATTTCCGTTTCTAAATCCTGGCTTTCTTATTAAACCTCTGTTTTAAGCCCAACTTTAAGATCTATGGAAATAAATTAAATGAGTCTGACCTTAAAAAGTTTACAAGTGACCACAAAATAGTACCTACCACCATCCATTTCCTGGCTCCGTCATCAGGTTAGCTCCAAGGTGCTAAATAAGTATCTATTGCTTTCCAATCTCTATTTCATCATCAACAGCCCTTTAGAGGCCACTTCTGGACATAGGCCTCGCGTTAGGCAGGACATTTATTTGGATTTAAATATCGTTAGGATAACTAGAAGTTATAACTTATATTATTTTTATAGGTTATAACTAAGTTGAGATTTTCAAAATATCTTTTGAAGTTACGAATAAAATTAATAGATTTTTTCCATCATTTGGCCACAGCATAGAATAGAATTTTAAATGGATATTCAGGGGTTTGTTTAGAGGGTACTTTAGTTTCATTTTCCTTGGTTGACTGAGTTATTTACTTTGTATTCAAAAGTTAGTAAGCAATAATTTTACAGAGAACCACTAAAATAAATATTTCGCGACATCTGCTACTTTTACAAACATATCGCAGAGATAAAGTAAGCTAAAAAGCTCGATTGCAATTGAATCAAAATGTATATAATTAAATTACAATGAAAACTTTACGTATTTTTTTCCACTTGTAATAAATTGTAGTTAAAATGTAAACAAAATTAATTTTCAAAAATTCGTTTTGTTTTTATTCATTTTTATGTACACACTAGTAACAATATTTACATTTCGTTGATAATGAAACACGTTGTGGTGTATAAACTATGGAGCCTAATAAGGCTTTTGAATTCACCAGTAAGATAACGGAGCGGAGTATGCAGAGTAGGCTAGAGGAGAGTTAGCGTAGTAGGCCGGCGCGTAGGCGCGGGCTGCAACAACACCATGGCCAGCAAAAACAGTCGGTGCATTGTAGGCTACTGGACCTCCAAAGGCGCGAACGCTGGGAACAGCGGAAGTGTAGGCTACTGGACCACTAATAGTACGTGCCGCGACCAATGGGGCGCTGGCAGCGTAAACAGCCGGAGCGGCTACAGTACGAGCAGCAATGACAGCGGGAGCTGCAGCAACTACAGTTGGAGCGGCAACGGCATGGGCAGCAACAACAGGGCCAGCGACGAAAGCAGGGTCTTTGCGGACGACTGCATTGAATCCGTTTACGTCATCGGCGGTGTAGTCTACTGTGCGCTTGGTACCGTCGGCATCCAACAAAGAATATTGTCCGGCAACGTTTCCACCAACACGGGTCTCCACCTGGCTCTTGAAGTCACCAGTGTTGGGGTCCGCTACGTCATAGGCAAAGCTGGTGTAATCAGCGTCTACTCGCGCTACTGGCACCACCGAACAGTGAGCCACGGCCACGAAGGCGGCGAGAACTACGAACTATGAACAAAGAGAATTAAATTTTATTAGGTTTTGCTGTGTAATCATTGGGCAGCTTAAATTATTAGTAAGTACACAAGCCAGTTACATGTATCGTCAATTTTGAATGCGATAAGCATAATAAGTAGACTTAAAATTACACATTGAATTACACTAGACTAGACAATACTATTTAAAACCATAGGTGTAGGTTCGCTTATGTTAATCACACACATTCTTTGCAAAGGTCTGATTTATAATATGAATTAACAATAAACATATTTTTTAAGGACAACTCCGGTTCTAGGAGTCGTCTCCTGGGTCGCGAGAGACTTTACAAACACTCATGAAACGGACACAAAAAACACCCAGAATTAGAACAACAATTTGTAGATCACACAAAGTAGGAACAGGCGAGGTGACTACGAATTTCAAAGACTAATTCAATATCAGCCATAATTGTCATATTAACTTGAGTACAACCACACCTAAAAACGCTGAGAATAAAGCAGAAATGCTTGAACAAATTATAAAACGATTAAAAGACCACTATAAAGATTTCCTGATAGCCCTGGCACTGTCACACAATTATCCACTTCACTAGATAATAAAATAATCACTACCTTAGCAGCCATTGCGTTAGATTTGAGGTTTTCTACTCGTCGAATGATACCTGTGGAGTCGGCTAGGAGCTTTTATATGAGCTTCGTAAGCGAGGGCGTGGCATCCGGCCGAGTATGATTACTTGTTGATCTTTAAAAATTAAGGCAAGTATACTACGATACAGAAGCGTGGGTTCAGTAAGAATTATAAATCGTTCATATACGGAGTGTGTAAGGTTATAAAGGACATCATAGTACCTAACATAATAAAGGTTTTTCTCACAGTACATTATTTAATATTTTCTTATAGATTATTGGTATGTAAGAGTCAAAACCATTAGTTGACCAACATTCATAAATGGTGAAGCATATTTTAGTTCAAAAAGTGGAGGCATTTTTTAATTCTTTATATATTTAGTAAAGTATACTGCCGATTTGGTTTATTTCAAATGGAAAGATAAAATACTACTATTTAAGTTTATTACAATTCATCATGTTATAGGTGTATCTATTATAGTCGTTGATATTATTTTTAAGTTCTAAGTATCTGCTTAGCCTTATTACACATTGGTTTACGAGGATACGAGGCTTCAAAAGTAAAGGAATTAAGTACAAGATAGCTATATATTTGACACCATAATAAAATATCCACAAAATTTTGTGTTAAAAAAGGCACTTCAACCAACGTATGTAATTTTACTATAAGTTAAGAATATTTGCGAATATTACAATAATTATTGTGCGTGAACGATCAATGTCTACTGGGGAACTCTAAATACACAAGACAAGCGTAATCACTTTTGTAATGTCGACGGATCCGGAAGAGCAAGGTCGCTCTTGATGAGAATTTGTACGACGAAGAAATGGGTCCGGGGCGTTCCACAAGGTTTAATCTCGGTCCATGCATCACTGCACATTAAACCGATTGTTTCTGAGATGTGGTTTCTTTGTTTGAGCTTTATTGTACTTATACGTCTTTTGTGTAAAAAGGGATACAGCAGAAAATATGCATGCATGATATGTGGAAGTATATAACTTTGTGTATATTTTTTGTCAAAAGATTTTAAGAAAATTATTTTAATATTAAACCTTCCTAAGGAGACGCCTATGTCCATCAGTGGACTAGTAAAGGCTGTTGATGTGATGTGATGTGTGATTTTAATATTTTTTCATAGATAGTCATCTGAACTACAAATATTAAAATTGTACACAAGTGTTGTAAATATAACATACAAAAATATAGCATAAGGAAGTATTGGAAGCTTTTCAAATAAACCTTTTATTGTCTATGTTTTCTGCAAATATTTGTAGTTAATAAAGGTAATTAAAAAACCTGATTTAACCTTACATGCAGAAATATGTGCCTAAGGAATTCCGCAGGATAAATTTAACATGGAGTTATCTTTTTAATGCTAGGACAGATAAACTATTTTATTAATGACGTAGAAACGAGATCCTTATCGCCATACGTTTGCTCTAGCTTCGCAACTCAAGGCAATCTTCACACGAAATGAACAATATTTTGATGCAAGTTTTTACTTGAAGTACAGAAGTAACATGAATATTTTAGATATTACAACTGTATAGTTGTAAGTTACATCATAACAACATCTTAATTAGTATTATGTTGTTCATCTAGGTCAGTGAGTTTTATTATGCCCATTTCTGTAAAAAAATATTAAAACAGGAAGTTACTTGTAAAATGTTTTGTTTGAATATTATTTCATCTTTAGTCCCCCTTTGTTGACATCTTAAGGTTTCTCTACCCTCTTCCCGTCAATCAACATTCATTTTACAAAACAAAAAAATATGCGCTCTATTTATAACATGCATAGCACAGAATAATCTTTATGAGCTGTTTTTTCTGAAATGGGTTTCCTCACACTTACAGGCATTTATATATTGGAATTGTGTATTTTTGTGAATTGTGTATTTTGTATTTTGTCTTCTTTAAATCTTAAATGTAACTCGTAACGTAATATATGCAATAAACATATATTCAATATAAACCTACCTAATATTAATAATATGATATATTACAAAAGCACATACATAACAGAAATAAGAGTATTTAATATGCTCAAGACAGAAATCAAGAAATTAGACGTAAAAATGTTCAAGAACGCTCTAAAAAAATGGTTAATTAAGCTTGCAAGAGTATTTTCTCATACAATAATTTGCATCCTTGTTTAATTCATTGTAATCTTCCATTTTTATTTGTAGTGTACTTTACAATTGCAATGTTCGATTTTGTAACTGTTGAAACTTTACCTCCTACAAAACATCTATATATGTAACACAGTTTTTTGCAATAAATGTCTTTGTCTTTGTCTGAATTTGCGAACTGAGAGAGTTGTGCTTCTGAATCTGGCGGCTCGATCAGAGGTCATGACGGCCTTAAAGATAACCGGTATCAAACGACTCCCCCTTAATTCTTGGACTCTCAAAAAACGACAAAGCTCTTATGGGTCTTGAGTTGCAAGTGTCGGGTCGTTTGCACCATATACCAAAAAACTTTTTGAAATGAAAACTTTTTAGTAGCGTTGGGCATTTGTGAACAACAAACAAGATAATGTATTTTTGAAATGGGAAAAAACTCACGACACTGTTACCGTTACCGACACCTCTGTATATGTCTCTGTTGAGTTTGGGTTGAAATACATTGATAATATAACTATATGTAATACAAACATTATATTGTGTATATACGTATAACATAGATAATATTCACGTCAGAACTTTGCAAATCGAAAAAAAAACAAAAAAAAAACCTGTTATAATCATTTTTTTTTAAATATCCTAATTTTCACTTCTATTGGCACTCCCGAAGTGTCACTAGTTCTTTTCTTTCTATACGTATTAATTCTAAATACAAACAAAAATTGTCTAAACGAATTTAAAAGTAACATAAGAACGTCAATGATATTTAATTTTAAACGTATCAATTGAAATTCCATTTGCATTCAACACATATGACCAAAATAGTAATAAGTGCAAAGTTATATCGATGACATATCGAGTTGGAATTTCTAACAAACTAGTATTCATTCCAATAATATATGACTGTATGAAAATTTATACTAAGTTAAAATTACACTTGGCACTGTCGGTAGGGATAATTAGTTGGGCTAAGTGTAAGTATCGGTTTTAAACAAACTCATGGCAATTCGTCACTCGATTCGAGTGGGTGGGGATTTCACCCAGGACAATTATTATTAATTGTATGAAGTGCATGATCATTTGTACTGTGTCTGGGTTAAATGTATCTGTAATATCTTTGTATTTAGAAATATTTAAATGTGTTTAAAAGCATTCTGGTACTATATTACAGGCTTTGACTGGTTTGGGATCAAACGGCAATATTACCTATCATTATGACATACTAGCTGCGCCCTGTGGTGTTACCCGCGGTTGTTGTTGTACCTTGCTCATCCCAAGAGATCACTATATCTTTCTCTGTGCCATATTTCATCCATATCCGTTTCTCCTTTTTTTTGTGAAATGATAACAAATATCCAAACAACCTTACAAACTTTCGCTTTTATAATATTATTAAGATATAAAAAATGAAAAAAGTTACGCAATGGCCCGTTTTAATCTCTTATCTAGTCGTGTTTTAAATCACACGATACAGACATGCAGGTATGTCTTAGTCTCGTTTTATTATTGACGACCGGATGGCGTAGTGGTTTGTGTGACGGACTGCTATTCCAAAGGTCGCGGGTTCGATTCCCGCTCAAGTCAAACATTTGTGTGCATGAACATTTAATGTTTGATTTGGTCTGAGTGTTTCTATGTATAATATGTATGTATTTTCAAAAAAAAAAGTAAATATGTATTTATATCAGTTGTCAAGTACCCATAATACAAGCTCTGCTTAGTTTGGGACTAGATGGCGTTGTGTGTATGTGGTAGAATATTTTATTATATTATATTATTAGGAAACCAAAACTTAAGATATACCCAAGCTGCTCACTCTATCCATTTTCTTCACCCCAATGTAACTGGCCAAAAACAAACCGAGCCAAAACCCTTGAATTACATATTGCGTTGCCGAAACGATCATGAAACGTAAAAAAAAATGCTGAATATTTTTTTGATTGTTTAAGTACAGAATGGGTATTCATTTTTTTTATTAGGATTATGAGATAATTATAAAATAATGCTAAGATTCTTAGAAATGTAGCAATAACCAACACAAACGTAACTGCGACGCAGATGTAGTATTGTATAAGTCCTCTTGTTAGTTACATTATTAGACATTTTAACGTAACAGCAACTGTGTATCACATTAAAACCAGTCAACCAGGAAGTCGTTTATCTACCAAAAAATTTAATAGTTTAATAGGCTTTAGCATTCAGGTAATGATACTGCCTTTTATTGCATTGCAAATTACATTTAACATGTTTATTGTCTACTGTTTAATGAATTATCGTTACCTTGAACTTTACAACATTTCTTAAATTATTAAACACAAATAGGGTATTATTTATCCGTGAGGCAATGGATTCAGAATACAGAGTGTCAACCCTATTCATCCAGCGGGTGCCGTAAGAGTCGACTAAGGGAGCAAGGACAACAGGATTACAGCACTGCAGGACAACAGCACTGAAGAAGAAGGAAAACTTGAAACAAACCCTATACTAACCCGTCTGGCCAGCGTGGTATAGTAGGCCAAAACCTCCATTGTAGGGAGAGGCCTATGTCCAACAGTGGACTGTTAGGGGCTGTTAATGAAATGGGGTATTGCATATAACTCAATACTCAATCACTTATTGCGTTCCATAATGTACATAAATGGTCTTAAAAATATAAATATAAAGAACCATTATGGACCCTGTCAGGCACAGCATAAGGTTAGGAAAGAGGAAGAGGGCTAAGCGGTATTACCGCTTAGCCCTCTTTCCTAACTAAATATCTATTTGTGCACACAGCTAAGTACTAATTAATATTATTTAACGGGAATTAACGCGAGCTCTTATTTAGGGTATTACCTGTCAGCCTGTCAGTCAGCCTGTGACCACGGCCGGTGCAACCTGGTCGAAACGTCAGGCAAACCAGAGGTATGTAATACCCTAAATAAGAGCTCGCGTTAATTCCCGTTAAATAATATTAATTATCATGGAACGCGAAAGTTTAAAAGTTAGTAAGTACTAATTGTCATATTTTTATATAATGAGTGTAGAGGGACCAATACTGATATCATAATATAATAATATACATATGTGATATTAGTACCATTGAATGAATACCGTGATGAATTAATCGTCCGAGTTGTGACGGATTAAGAATACAAAGTGTCACCACACCCATTCATCCCGTGGGTGTCGTAAGAGCCGACTAAGAGAGCAAACTACGCAGGAAAATAGAACTGCAAAGAGAAGGAAAACTTGACACAAACCCTATTTCAACACGTCTGGCCAACGGTCTCCTTTCTAAGGAGAGGCTTATGTCCTGCAGTGGACTATTAAAGGCTGTTGATGATGATGAATGAATACAGTTAAATATTATGTTTTTGCTTTGGATGGTTAAGATGTAAAAGAATAAAATAATTTTATCATCCTTAATTGAAATTACCTACTGATTGCACTCGTTTAAATACCTAACGAAAAATAAAAGTTGATGACTTTAACAGCAAATCTTGTTTACTTTTATTATTTCTACAGGTTTTTGAGTAAGGATAAATATTATTATTTTTAATAGACTTATATTCGCTTATCCTAAGTAAACAAATTCAATTTAAGTCATAACTATCATAAGATTTTTTTAAGTAAACATATCCGTGTATACAGGTAGTAAATTTTCAAAACGAAGCTTGGTATGTGGTTGGGATGATAATACAAAAATTTTGTTTCTTGGTGTTCATTTGATGATGTATGTAGAAAGTTAGTAATATATTCCCCGAGGCTACAAATTAGAGTATATGTTAGAGATAAAAAGGGTAACAACTCACAGGTTTTTTGAGAATTACTTTAAAACCATAATATTTAGAACAAAAATTAAAAGTATAGTTAAAGTGAAAGTTATTTAATTTTTTAGTAACTTTATTTGTAGATAAACTACAAATAAAGGTACTCAAATTTAACCTGGGCTAGGTTAAATTTACTAGGTTAAGGTTACTTAGATCGCGAATTAAAGTTTTAAAATTCTTGTTTTTGTTCTCCTGTAAAGTGTTGATTTTACTGGTATCACTTATCACAGGAAGAACAGGTGTAATAATATTAATAATATACAAGAATAATTTACACTTTGACTGCATGGATGGCGTAGTTATTTAAACGCTTGTGGGTTCGATCCCCACATGGGACAACACTTTGTGTGGTCCACTATTTGTTGTTGTTCTGAGTCTGGGTGTCCTTTGTGTCCGTTTCATGTATGTTTGTAAAGTTCCCCTCGACACAGGATTTATTCCCTATTCTTTTTATAACATCTATCTATACAAATAAATAAAATTGGAGTGTCTGTTTGTAATATTAAAATAACCGCTTTTTACTAAATGCATATGTATGTTTACATATGCCAAAATAACATTTTTTACAATTTTTGCCTGTCTGTCTGTCTGTCTGTTTGTTCCGGGTAATCTCTGGAACGGCTGGACCGATTTCGACGGGAGTTTCACTGGCAGATAGCTGATGACATAAGGAGTACCTTAGGCTACTTTTTTTAGACTAGCTTCGCCCCGCGGCGTTGCCCGCGGTTATAACAATAAACGCGGGTAACATAGCGGGTCTCAGCTAGTATGATATAATATTTAAAGAAAAAAGTCACTTGCGACAAAACTGGCCTGTTAGTTTAGTATAATGACACTTCAAGAGAATAGCGTTGATATTTTGCTAAAAATAAATGTATATTACAGCAGCAGAGAAATAGACAAAATAACTTGAAAAATAATAAGTAAACTTTAAATTATTATTTACAATTCATATAAAAAGAACAATCTAATCACCACACAATGTATTTACATTGTGTGGTGTCACTTATACATAACTAGCTGACCCGCGCAACTTCGTCTGCGTCTCTCAATAGTAATATTTTTTCTCCGTTTTTGAAACATTCTTCATTGGTGCTCCGCTCCTATTGGTCGTGATGATATATAGCCTATAGCCTTCCTCGATAAATGGGCTATCTAACACTGAAAGAATTTTTCAAATCGGACCAGTAGTTCCTGAGATTAGCGCGTTCAAACAAACAAACAAACAAACAAACAAACAAACTCTTCAGCTTTATAATATTAGTATAGATTTACAAAGAAGTTACTACCACAATTCAGAGGGTAATACAAAATCCCCCTCTATTATATTTAAATATATAATTATATCAATATTAGTATGTTATACTTATCTCTCAATACAGTATATTCAAAGTTGTGGAATGCGTAAATGTACAGTGACAGTAAAATTTCGATGACAGAACACTGTGTCTTATTTCTTTAAAACTTACATTTAAATAATTTGTACTGCCACATATAACATTCTGTGTACTGACGGATTAAAAATACGGAATATCACTACCCCAATTCATCCCATGGGTGTCGTAAGAGCCGACCAAGGGCGCAAAACAACGCAGGATACCAGCAAAGAGAAGGAAAACTTGCACAAACCCTATACCAACCCGTCTGGCCAGCGTGGTATAATAGGCCAAAACCTCCTTTGTAAGGAAAGGCCTATGTCCAGCAGTGGACTATTAAAGGCTGTTGATGTGGTATATCATTCAGCACTGTAAGAAGAAAGTATCTATTCCATTTCTTTTTACATATCTTCTTCTGTTTTAGTTTTAGTTTTCATAGGCCTCTTTAATGTCTTTAAACTTTTGTCTACATTTTGCCAGCAAAGACTCCAAAATCTATAGTTTTATATTTTAATAATAATTCAAATGGAATAAAACACATTTAAGGAATTACCAAACATTACAAAACTACAACAATTCACAGTAACTGAGTACAGAAACTAAACTTGGAGAAGTCGTTCTCATTAGTTTTATAAACTCATTAAGTAATCTTAAGAAACACGTTACCAGAATGAACAACTAAATTTTCCCAGGTGCAGAGATTTTTTGCATTATGTTTCAGATTGTTCTTTGTTGTTTTAATTACTTTTGAGAACATGTTTTTGGTATCGTCTGATTACACAAATACTGATGAGTTATTAGATTCATGTCTTTATTTAGGCCTTCTTCATTATGTGTGTTAATAAGCACATATGCAACCTTTGCCGGAATCACAGGAGATTAAATATGATTGTTTACACGGCCGTTAACTTTGAAAGCCCCCAAAATATAGTAAATACAAACGTTATTTTTCTAAGCTCCTTCAAAATGCGTTCTTGCAACTAGCTCTTTCTAACTCTGAACGAGACCAAGACGACGAATTAAATATAAAACACAAATTTAAATGTTAAAATCTTTTTTTTTGATAATAATATTTTATACATATTTTCCCCTCATTGTTTTTTTCTCTTTAACCTCAGTAAGTTAAGATATTATGAGGTTAATAACTTCTGAGTTTTAACCAACAATTATTAAGTTTATTTGATTTTTATCCAGTCAAGATTATCTTAAAACAAATAACACTCTTTTGGTTTTTTAAACAGGTAAATACATATCTAGACTCTTCTGTCGGCTTAGTGGCTAAGCCAGGGGTTGAGGGTTCGATTCCCACAGAGGACACAGAGTTGTGTGTTAAGCACACTCATTTGTTCTGCGCTTGAAGGTAATAAATCTGTAATAAAAAATATGTGCCCAGTGGACGGTAATAGGCTTGACGGGAATTTCACGTAAGTAAAACTAAAATTACAGTCGACAGTCGACAGTCGACAGTATATATATATAATCTTGACGCTATCTTTAATTAGAACTGATCAAACAAAAAACAAAATTCTCATTTAATTCTAATATTGTCAAGCTGTAGCCAAGTCATTCTAGTTATTTAAGAAAAAAGATGTTTACGAGTAATAATAAAGCAGGTAACCCAAAAAAGTAGATAGTTAACCAAGTAGAAATTTCGTTTGGTCGTGAGATTGGAATTTCGTTTATTGAATCTTGGTGAACGAAATAGAATCTGGGTAAAAGAAAAAAATAGGAACCCTAAAGAGTTATATATTTTTATATACATTGCATTTATATAAAATGTTAACATTATATAAAACTATAAATACAACAATAATACAGTAATTGTAATACTCAATAACTTAAGTTCTAAAAGTTTAAATACGGAAAATGAGTACCGTATCTTTCTAATCATATGTTTTGCGATTGAAAATATTTAATTACAAATAACTTTTTAAAGAAATGTTACATTTTGTGTAATTTTTTTGACAAGTCATCACCGAATTCAAAATATTAATTTAATCGACATCTAAATATGTTGTTAATACTTTAACAAGGCCGATGCTACTAATCTTATCAAAGTTAATTTACATAATGTGTGTTTCAGATTCTAATTAACCTCTGAAAGAGATGATTTCGAAACATTACAAGTGATGTGAGCGCAATGATTTCAAACTATGACCCCCAAAACTACAATGCGGAGACTTTGCGTGAATATAAATATTTGAGAACAACAGGGTTATATCATTCACAAGCCAGAACTGAAGACGAACACAATTCAACATGGCAGCTAAGGTAAAGACAATAATGAAGTAATTAATACAATTTGAACAGAAAATATTAACAAGAAAATATTTTTTAAATCATAAGATTCCATTTATTCTTAACTAACTGTTATTCATATATTTCAATAAAGTAAATTACAACGCAAATGAAAGTGAAAAATCAAATAAATTTCAACCTTTATACATTGTACAAAAATTAACATACTAATTTTTTCCCACAGATTATTGTATTCTCCCTGTTTGTGGCAACTGTATGCGGCAGTGGTGGTTACTCGAGTTTCTCATATGGTGTATCTGACCCTAACACTGGTGATGTCAAGGATCAACATGAGAAACGCGTTGGTGACAGCGTTGTGGGCAAATACTCACTTATAGAATCTGATGGAACCAAAAGAATAGTGGAGTATGAAGCTAATGCCGCTACTGGATTCAATGCTGTTGTTCGGAAAGAACCTGCAGGTGGGGCCCAACTAGCTGGACCCTTAGCCCATGAACCTTTACTTTATCCCTCAAACGGACCCCTTGCACCTGGCCACGCTGCTCAATTTGCTCCTGCAGGATCTCATGGTTACCCTGGCGCTCTTCTCCCGCCTGGTGCCCTTCCTCACCCAGGAGCCCATCCTCACCAGGGAGCCCTTCCTCACCCTGGAGCTCTGCCCCATCCTAGTGGTTTAGGACATCCTGGTACACTGCAACATCCAGGCGCATTCGCTCACCCTGGTGCTCTGGCTCACCAAGCATCTTTGTCACATAATGCTGCTCTTGCTAATCAAGCAGCTTTGGCTCATCGTGGTGCTCTTGGTCACCATGGCGCTCCTTCTCATTCTGGTGATATCGGACCTCTAGCTCACCCTAGTGGTATTGCCCATCCCGGTGCTATAAATCCTCATGTTAACCATTTAGCTGGTAATTACGCTCGTCCCGGATATGCTCCCTTCCCTGGCACAAATGCATACGGCAGTCATGCGTCTGGTCCTCAGGGAGTTCCTGCAGTGTCTCATTATTCTCACTCTGTCGTTCATGAAGCTCCTCGTGCGTACTCTGGACCTTATGCTGGTGGTTACAACGGTGCCTATGGTGGAGCTTACGGCGGTGCCTATGGAGGTTACGGTGGTGCTTACAGAGGACACGGTGCTCACGGCCAACATGGTCCCTTCGATGCTCCTTCGGCGCATGGACCTGCTACCCCCCTTGGCCATGGTCTCGCTGGTCCTCATGGTTTAGCTCATAGTTACAACAGCAACACTCGAGGTGAAGCTTACCCTCACGGATATGGAGGATATGGAGCTCGTTCCAATGGAGCTTACGGTGCCGGTAATGGATCTGGTTTCGGATCTGGACTTGGAGCCGGTCTACCCTGGTAAATACATACGACTGCTGTTGATCTGTGATTTAGTTTTTTCAAATTAATAAATTACGTGTTTATAAGAAATATGATATTTTATTTTAGTACTTAAAATACCTTTTAAAAATTTAATTCTTCTAATGCATTGCAAGTTGTTTTTTTTTTGTACTTAAACAATAGAGAATCATGTTATAAAAACTAAAATAAGTTCTCAGATGTTCATTATAGTTCTATACAAAACCAGATACTTAACAAAATAACAGATTTGCAATGTTCGAATACTTATACTGCAAACAGAAAATAAGCGAAGGAAACGTAAATATTATAGAAAATATGCTTGACAACTCAAACAAATATGACACTAGAAGGCATATCTATATTTGGAGTAATTATTGTTTAGTAGAAGAAGTAAATAAAGCTAAGGTTTTTAAACAATATGTGTTAAGAAGTTAAAATGTCTATAAAAATGGCTACATAAAACTCTAGGGATTCATAATCTGACAAGGTACAAAAGTCCTCGTACAATGACAAGTTTAAGTATGAAATGGAACAAGACTTTTAAATAAGTCGAAGCACCCACAAGGTGATCTCTAGTAATGATAAACAAGCATAGAAGATAATTATTTTTACGATGCATAGAAATAAATGAATGAATGAATGAATACAGTTTGATTGTAAATATTTTGTCTTCAAAGTAGATATACAAGGACAAAATAATAATAAAATAAAAAGAATAATAATATTCTACCACATTCACACAACGCCAACTACTAGACAACTGATGTAAATACATATATACTTTTTATTTTGTAAATACATACTTATTATACATAGAAACACCCAGACCAAATCAAACATTAAATGTTCATGCACACAAATGTTCAGTAAATCACAGTGAACTGTGATTTACTGTATTATATATTTATTGTAGTAATTTTTAATATGTTCTGTAGTATTTTTTATTATTATGCCTACATAATAATAAAAAAATACTACAGTTATTGTTTTAGTATTTTTTATGTAGGCAAAATAGGGTCTTCATCTGAAAAGAGCTTATTGGCAACAACTCGAGAGTAAATAGCAAACCTAACCTACGTAGAAAAATAGAATGATAAATCACAGTTCACTTTGATTTGGTCCGATGTATTTTTTTTTACTCGTAGTAACCCCATCGAAAGTACACCATAGATGTCACTGCCAAGTACTTATACTCTGTTAATTCGTTTATTTTCTTTTTGAAAAGTTGCTTGAGAATATAAGGGCGCTTGTACATCATCAGGACTGATGACGGCGGCAGTGTACAAGCGCCCTTAACGAGAACGTCCTTAGGGTCTAGTTTAAAATGACATGATGGCGATCATACAATCAATCTTGGTGTACATTAGGCATAACGCAATACATTCGACCGTTATAATGACTTTCGTGTGACGGGATGTACAGGTGGCAACAATCATAAATGCGTGTGTGTGTGCTATGTGCTTCGATGTCGTCATCTTGTTCTAGCTGAGACGTCCTGCGAATATATTGGTGGAAGAGCTTACGGGCTGTTCTTGGTATTGATGTAAACAAATTGTTCTACTACATTTATTCGTTTATAGTAATGTATTTCTTTGTATTTGCACTTAATAGCATTATTGTAATTGAAATCCTAGTTAAAACTTGGAGTAACGAATAAAAAAGATGATACGCACGAGATTACATAGCTTTTTGTAATATTAAAAATCAATTCTTTTCTTATCTAAGACGTTACCTAGGTGGAAAATATACTAAACTAGTTGTAACTAAAATAAACTTCAGAACGATAACTACTTGCTCTCTAATAAAATCGATTATTATCTTAAATAAAATATTTTAGTCATTACATAGGCCAACATAAAAAAACCCCGGCAACTATAGTAGAGCACGGTTACTTAATCCAAAAATAGGTAAATTTTTTGCTCTTTTACGTTAAAATATCTCAAAAACCTGACGTGATAGAGCTATTCTGCGGCGAATTTAGATTCAGCGCACCAAAATCCTTTGCGAAAGTATACTCTGGTTTCTGGGAAAGAAACTTTGTAAAATTTTGTTGGACATAACACAGGTATTTATGTAACAGTTAAAAAGAAAATGGTAGTGCGAAATTATGGTCACCATCATCGTGCTCATCACACAATTATTTGTCCTGGATTTTAATCGAACCCACGACCCTCGGTTTACCAGTCAGGGTCACTAACCACTAGACCAACAGTCCGTCAATTGCCTTCCCTTCTTATCTATCTTTAGTTTCTTCTCAATATACTCACAATTTTTCAATGTAATATTTGAAGCTCTTGGTTTATAGCCAAGGTTTATCTCTTGTTACGAACCTAAGTCCGTGTAGTGACGGATTAAGAATACGGAATGTCACCACCCCTATTCATCCCGTGGGTGTCGTAAGAGCCAACTAAGGGAAAAAACTACGCAGGACAACAGCACTGCAGAGAGAAGGAAAACTTGACACAAACCCTATACCAACCCGTCTGGCCAGCGTGGTATAGTAGGCCAAAACCTCTTTTCTAAGGAGAGGCTTATGTCCAGCAGTGGACTATTAAAGGCTGTTGATGATGAATGTCACTACCCCAATTCATCCGTGGGTGTCGTGCCGACTAAGGACGCAAAACAACGCAGGACACCAGCACCTTAAAAAAGAAGGAAAACTTGATATAAACCCTATAGCAACCCGTCTGGCCAGCGTGGTATAGTAGGCCAAAAACTTCTATCTAAGGAGAGGCCTATGTCCAGCAGTGGACTATTAAAAGTTGATGACGTAACTGGGATTAAAATTATAGTTGCTAAATTGTGGGCGTTTAATTCGCCTACCTAGTCTGGGACTGGGCTTTTGGGAATATATTCGTGAGTATTTGTAAGTATGTAATTCACATGCTTCAATCGGTTTGTCTAAGAACGACCATGTTTCCAAAGAGAGTTGTAGTCAGGCATGCGGAGGCATTTAAAAGGAACCAGTCGGGTCCCTTAGAAAGACAAGACATCGTTTATTTCTATGCGTATAATGTATTTTTTATGTCTCTCTATACACTATAATAATTAGTACTAATGCTAACTACTACCTATCACAAATGTTTATTAATGTAAGTTAGTTGGTTTACTTGTTTGTTTGTTACGTGTACTAGCGTTATCATTTAAAAAATCATCAGGAATTAAACATAAAAAAATAAAATTTTACTGTTCAAAAAATATGGAATCTAATAAATATAATTTTATGTTTAATCTTTCAAAACTTTTGTAGGCAAAAGGTAGTATTATATTTTATTATTTATTTTAATTCTTTAATTCGAAATTCGTCTTACTAGATATTAAAAAAAACATTACCTAGTCTTGTTAAACACAGTTCATATTTTTATGCAGATGGTCTTGGCATATTAGATTATCGATAATATCACTGGTGAAAAACTCATGACAAGCTATTTTTTTTAACAACCGAAATAATAGGTACGCCAATAAGGTCCCTCTTTTTATTTTAAGATATGGTTTATTAAATTACGGATTACCTTTCACAGTATATTGACAACTTCCGTTTTTTTTTTTAATTTATGGCAACATTTTGCAATATTCAAATCAACCAATATGCAGGGTAACTGGGTAAGTTGACTTAAATACTTTAAGGGGTTGTAGTTGCCATCATTTCTGATAGATTTCACTTTGAAATACTATATCCCAAAAGTAACCATTTTCAAGATATTGAACATTTAAGATTTTTTTATAAAAATAGCTGAACTTTTATCAAATATATATTTTTGACAAAAGTCCATATCGTGTCGTGTCACCACCGATTTTCTCAGGAACGGGTAGACCTCGCAAGTTAAAATATATACCAGATACTGAGGTCTATGGTACCTATTAGGTTTATAAAAATCAAGGTCCTGAGTCCACATGATAAAAAGATATGGGCAAATTTCGATTTTCTCTAAAACTTATAAGTACCAAAATTTATCTTAATTTTCAACTTTTTTTATTTTTCAGAATGTTTCCTTTACTTGTACTGTAAGACCTTGCTTTCAACCAAAATTGACAATTCTAGGTCAACCGGAAGTACCCTATAGGTTTTGGGTCGAAAACCTATATGGTAGTTCCCGTGGACCTAGAATAACGAAATTTGCCAAAAAGAAACGTCTTACAGCACAACGAAAGGAATAATTCAAAAAAAAAAAATTGAAAATTTAGATAAATTTTGGTACTTACAAATTTTCGCGAAAATCTACGTAAAATCTGGATTGGTACGGAACCCTCGGTGCACGAGTTCGACTCGTACCTGACCGGTTTAAAAAAATAAAGTACGTATTCTATAGCGTATACGTATCTATAGCGTATACGTATCGTATAGCTATCGAACAAGGTGTTATAGTCTAGGATACTATCAGAATTCGTAATAAAAACTTAGTTGAAAGACCGGGTTGTTAAGAACTAGTGTACAACTACGTAACTTATATATATTATATTATATATTATATCCTTTATTTTATACTACGTACTACGTAACGTAGTATAAAATAAAGGATATAATTTCTAAAAACAATTGTTTTAGGCAACATTTAGGCGATTTTAGTAAAAACTTAAAAGTCCAATATCTTGAAAATGGTTATTTTTGGGATATGGTATTTCATAATAAAATCTATCAGAAATAATAGCAACTACAACCCCATTATTTAGGTCGACTTACCCAGTAACCCTGTTTGCACTTATTACATACTTTGTACAGTATTACCATTATTACATTAATAAGAAGGGGTTCCATTGTTTTAATTTTATTTGTTAATACTGTTGCTGCAACTAGTTTAGTTGCTTGTTAATGAACTACTTAAAGATCATCGGCGGTAAGTTTTTAATAAAGTTAATTTTAAGATCATTAGTAATCTGGGTCATATTACACCGCTATTACATCGTTATTTAGACAGAAACTAAGCATTATAACGAGTGAGTGGTTACAGGAGCTCCAAACCTTAATTCTGGAGGGGGCGGGGGGGGGGGAGGGGGCTCAGTACGTCAAATTACTCGTATATTAGAAGGAGGTGACAAAGATCTCAAATGACATGATAAGGAATTGATTTAAGACAGAAGAAAATGACATCATGTAGACATAGGACTGGAATAACAATCTTTGTAAATCAGCATTATAAATCAGTAACTGTACTGGAATTCAGATTAAACCGTTTATTTTTTATGTAATTATCAAACATCTTTTCTTTCTCTTTCCTGCAATCTATAGAAGTGCTTTCGTAAGGTCGTTTCGCACTTTAGCCATTAGCCGTAGGAAGGCTTTCACTTTTTAGTAAACACACTGATTCTCCTGCCACACAACTTTCCAGCTTTGACTTTTCACAACGGAATCCAGGGAAAGTTTTCCTTTTAAGCTTTCAATGTCTTTATCAAATTTTTAAGATAAACGAACTATTGTTAAAATACTTGTAATTTAATATCTAACACCATAAACCTGATTCATTTTAGGTTCCTTGTATGAAACAATACTTACTTAGACAAACGAGTTAATAGCTTCTTATATGCACCACATCTATAAGAAATAATTTCAACACATTAGAACTGATGTGAGCGCAATGATTTCAAACTGTGACCCCTAAAACTACAATGCGGAGACTTTGTGTGAATATAAATATTTGAGAACAAGAATGTTAAATCATTCACAAGCCAAAGCTGAAGACGAATACAATTCAACATGGCAGCTAAGGTAACGATAAGAACAAAAGCCAAAACAGTTTCCTTAACATTGCAATATCTCTCGTTAAGAGAGATTAACAACTCGGATTGACTTTTAAAAATTAATCTGAGATTATATGATGTGAAAAAGCTAAAGAGAGCAGCTAATCAACAATCATAAACAAAGTGAAACAGCGACAAACAGCCTTTTCTACATAAAGCTTTTCTGATAAGTTACGTCAGTCTTATTAAGTCCAAACAATCCACTAAAGTTAAGACTGCCCAAAGCAAATTATATAATTCTGTGACAACTCTTTTCTTTTGATTTTTACATTGTGCTTCTCGACTGATAAAAGAATATTTTTTCAGCAGTTCATCGTGTTCACCCTACTAGTGGCATCTGTATATGGTAGTAGTTACTCGAGTTTCTCTTATGGTGTCGTTGACCCCAACACTGGTGACATCAAGGATCAACATGAGAAACGCGTTGGTGATAGTGTTGTCGGCAAATACTCGCTCCTGGAATCTGATGGAACCAAAAGAATAGTGGAATATGAAGCTAGTGCTGCTACTGGATTTAATGCCATCGTTCGAAAAGAGCCTGGCGGTGAAGGCCAACCATCTGAACCTCTAGGTCTTGAACCTTTACCTGGATCTGCTAATCAATCTATTGCACCTGCTCAACCTTCTCCACTTGCACCCGCTCAAGTTGCTCCAAATACATCTGCCAATGCTACACCGATTGCACCTCCTGCTCATCCGGGACAAATGGGTCAACCTGGTTCTCCTCCGCTTCCTGTTGCTAACTCAGATCTTAGTGGTAAGCCTCATTCCGAAAACCTCTTTACTCCTGCTACTGGTCAAAACCCAGGTGCTTTAGTCCACCCTAGTTCCGAAGTTCAATCCAGTAATTTACCAGTTAAAGGTACCTTAACTCCCTTACCTTGTACTTTGACTCACCAAACGCCTTTGGTTAAATTTTGTGCTGTTTCCCATCAAACCGTTTTTGCCCAACATGGTTTTGGCCAACGCGATATCCTCTCCTATCCTGGTGCAAACGGCCCTCAAACTTACCCTGCTGCTATTAGTAATTCTAGGCCCTTAAACCCTTATGTTAAATCTTTATCTGATAACTTCATTCGTCAGGGATACGCTTCTTTTGCTGGTGCTAACGGATTAGGAAGTCCTATTTCTGGACCTCAAGGAGTTCCCGCTGTATCCCATTTTTCTAATTCTATTGTACATGAAGCTCCCCACGCCTATCCAGGATCTCGCGCTTTCGGTTATAATGGTGCCTATGGTGGACCTTATGGTGGTTCCTACGGTGGCTATGGAGGATTTGGTGCTTACGACCAACACAGTGCTTTGGGCGCTCAATGGTTACGAGGACCTGGTAACTTTCTTGCTCATGGTGTTGGACCTTATGGTGTAGCCCATAGTTACACTAGCCTCACCCGTGGGGAAGCCTACCCTCATGGTTATGGAGGATATGGGGCCCGTTTTAATGGGGCCAGCGGCGCTGATGTAGGAGCTGGTCTACCTTGGAGATAAGTGTGACTGATGTTGAACTGTGATTTATTTTATAAATATTAAATTATGTAGTAATTATATTCTGTTTCATTGTTTGTACTCATTGTATTCTAAATCTAGAATATGAGAGCAATGTCAATATTGTTCTGCTGTGTGTGAGTGAGTAAGATGTAATAATTAATATAAAATAAACAATAATGTTTGTAAAATTATAACAACTAGCCAACAAATAAAAAAACTATAGAATTTGTCCTCTTAACAAGCCTTTCTAAACTAGTTCATACTGAGAGTTTCTTTTAGAAACTATTAATAACAAATTACTAGATTCAAGAATCTGACCACTTTTGCGGAAACCCCATTAGGCTGTCATCAATAGCCGATCACAGTCTAACGCTGGACATCGAATTCGTCTTACAAAGAAGATTCCACGCTGGTCAGATGGGTTGGTTGGTTTATGGCAAGTCTTTCTTCTCAATCCAATACTGTTAACCTGCGTAGTTGGCACCCTTAGTCGACTCTGGGCTGTCAACTTACCGAGCATTACGGTTGGCAGTGTGTATGAATGAAACAGATGAAAATCACACGATGTGCCATACTCCACCAAAAATAGGAGGGATCCGAGAATAGTTACTGTTACTGTAAACAAACAAATTAAATTGAATAAAAACAAAACTATATTATATTTATTCAAACACTATTACAACATAATAGATTTTACTCTCACGGAGACAATGAACAAAGATGCTCGTGAACAAATGAACGTAACAATGATATAATGAACTATACAAATGTATGCATTTCAAAAAACGTGTGGAACACCACGTTGAACACTTTGATGACCTACTGTTCGTTTTAATTAAATTCCATCATACCAACTGAATTTAGGCAATTTCCTATTTTGGTGTTTTAGGTACATCTGATACAATGTGTTGCAAATATTATGTTTTTAGCCAATAAATAGATAATACATGCATTCATACATATATAATCACGCCTTTGGGGTAGGTAGAGGTAACGCAATTGGGCACAGTGCAGATATACATCTCGTGCCTTTTCCACATTCATTATGTAAATAAAATTGTATGTTTATAAATAGCAGTTTAGATCTGGAGGCATGGTAGTAGCGGCCCCGCCTAGACCAGAGAAGTGTAATGCAACCTACCTTCTCTCGAAGTGCTTCGACGCTTGCTGACCCCTCATAACTTAAGTTTGGATACCAGATAAAAAAAAAACTTCGGGATATGATGTCAATAGTGGATTTATTAAACACCTCAAGTTTCAATTGCATAGCTATCATGCTTTAAATATTATTGATATCTAAAAACCTCGATTTCGTCACCGACTCACAGATGATCATCAAAATGCTTAGGGTACTTCCTGAAATCCTAGAAAACGTAAAGTTTCAATTGCTTAGTTTTCATACTTTAGATTTTATTGATATCCAAAACACCTCGATTTCGTACCCGACTCACTCATTGATGATCATCAAAATTCTTAGGGTACTTCCCTGAAGTCCTGGAAATCTGTTAAAAATGAAAATTTGTTATGTAAGCAGTAAGTATTAGTGCACTACCAAAAATAATTTCTAAAACTTAGAACTTTCACCCCTCCAACCCTTCTAACTACGGAATAGAAGTTTGTATGAGAATTTCAGAAATTTTAATGCTGAAGGTCTAAGCAACCTACAAAAACAAGTGAAATCCGACCAAAACATTTTCATATAAAAATTGCCAAGACGAGACCATATGGCTCACACTGACAAAAAAGTTATTAGAACTCATGTAGAGCCAAGCTTCTAACTCTACACGCCCTAACTGTACAAGCCAACAACTTCACAAGCCTTCACAACCTTAGTCAAAATATGTTACATTGCCGTTTCGCTACCATTACATGGGTGTGAAGTGAAATATTTATTCACTGTTCATTATTTTTCTATTACACAGTAGTTCCTCTAGTAACCAAACAGTCAAGCCGCATATTTTAACTAAGATGTAGAGTTTTGTGAAGTTAGGGTGTGTAGATTTGGAAGCTCGGCTCTACATGAGATCTGATAAATTAATGACAGTGCGAGCCACATGGTCTCGTCTTGGCAACATTTTACATGATAATGTTTTTCGCTGGATTCATTATTATTAACATGTATTTCAAAGATAAAGGGTGGTAACGCTCTTGTATCTCTAGAGTTAAAGAAGACTTTTGGCGGCAGTAGTTACTTGCCAATAGGTGACCCGTCAGCTCCTTTGCTTTTCTATACCGTAAAAAAATCTCTCCTCTTCAATATGTGCTAGGTACTTGCTTATATTGTTTGAGGTTTACTAATGATACGTTGAGAATATGTTATCATTTACTCTGTATAAAAAGTTTAAGAAAATTAACACTTCAATTAATTTAATTTTTAATAAGTTTTATAAAAATCCTGAGAACCTGTCAAACAAAGAATGCTTTGAGATTTTTATACTAATAGTTAACTATGGTGGTTTCAAGGCGATTAACTGTTTTTAAACATCTTTGTTAAACCAGAATTCCAAGTATTGGCAACACCAAGTTGCACTCTCCGAGAAACTGATTTTTAACTCTGACCATTTTGAAATTAACTCCAATACATATTCGAGTTAGTCAATGATCATAGTGCCATTGCCGCCTAGTAAAAATAATATTTTGATGAGCACGACGGTTTGTATTCTTGATGGATATAGTTTATCTACAGTATATATGGGTAATAGCGTATACGACTGTTGTGCTGAGGTCTCGGGTTCGATTTCCAGGTCGCACCAAATTTTTGTGTGCTCTGCAAATGTTTGTTTCGGAGTTAGGGTATCGGGGTAGCATAGATTTCCTTTCTAGGGTACACCTGGTTCCCCGGCAACTGGTTTTTGCTCAGTTCGAGTCCGATATGGTTGGTATCCGAGTGGATCTCAGCACAGAAAAAAGGTGTTTTTTATATAGGTATAATATCTATGTATATAAAGTATTGTATTAGTCAATCTGGCTTTCATAATACAAGCTCTGCTTAGTTTGAAACTAGATGGCGTTGTGTGGGGGTCAGAAGGCCTTGGGTAAGATGTGTGAAGTCGTTGTTATTATTATAAGAAGTAACAAATGTTTGTAGATAGGAAATATCATATAAAGAAAGATAAAAAAAAACACTATTGACACATTAATTTATTTGTTGATTTCATTATCCATTCATAATGCTTTCCTACGTCGGTATAGATGACAGCACTTCGACTAATTTCAGGTTGTTTATAGGAGACAAGGCCTATTTGGATGTAGCCGCGAACTACAAGTGCACTTCCTGAATCACCGCTGTAAAAAAACATATATAAGAAAACTAAATAACTCAGAAAATATAAATATTATTATAGTTAATCTGTAGCCAAAATGATAATGTATGACATCAACATATCGAATTGACTTTGATCGAAGTTCGACTGTTTTTATTTCTTGTAAAAACCAGCTGTACCCTGCAACTCTTAGCTGTGGTTGCATTGATAAGAAAGGAAGAACGTAACTGAAACTGACGATCTTTAAAGCCGTTTATAGTGTCAAAATTTGAGCTCAATCAGTGTACACTTTTTGAGTTTACAAAGCTTACAAAAACCAACTTAACAATTTTATATACTTATCTATATATATAAAAGAAAGTCGTGTTAGTTACACTATTTATAACTCAAGAACGGCTTTACAGATATGGCTGAAAATTGATGGCGAGGTAGCTTAGAGCCAGGAGACGGACATAGGATACTATTTATTCCGTTCGACAGTGTTTTTTTTTTGTTTTTTTACGAACATCCATGTTTTTCCCATGGTCAATTATATGTGGCATGTTCACGGGTCGGAAGACTATCTGCGTTGTTTGTTTTTGCGCCTGATAAGAAAACATAAAATGTCGTGTATCACAAGGTACTTAAGTGAAGAGCAACCTATGTACTGAAATGCAGAAACAATAATAAATGATTAATGTACTTAATTTTTTTTTTTCTAAGAAAAAAATTAACTTACTAAATTCTAAAATCGGCTTATTTATTGCCTTTAAGGCGGAACAGAGTTCGCCGGGTCAGCTAGGTGTACACTTTTTGAGTTTACAAAGCTTACAAAAACCAACTTAACAATTTTATATACTTATTATGTATAGATTGTATTTAGGTAATGAGTCATTTTTTCCTTAATTCAAAAATATTCTATTCGGATTTCTTTTGATGATTCTTGTTATTTAAAACTTGAAATGCAACTTCGCAAAAAAAAGTTACATCGCTTTGTTTATCGCATATGAGCAGACGGGTCAGAAACGGGAGAAGTTACAATTAATTATTGTATCGTACGAAAGCTTGACACTAGTGTTTTGTCATGACATGGCAGTGTAAGATAGAGAAGTTCGCAGAGGGTCTTTTAGTAAAGTCACGTGAGTAAACCCTAATATTCTTTATGCCTGTAAATACTTACATACTTAGGTTGTATTTTGTTAAAGCATTATAGCGTGGAAAAGCCAAGCTGCCACACAAATGGGTTGGTTCCATTGTAATACCGCGGCCTCAAAAAAATAAAATAAACTTGGCACTTCGGGAGTGCCTACGGAAGGGAAAACTTGAAAGAAAATTTTATTTTTTTCTAGTCGAAAAGTTTCTACATGAATTTATACCTATGTTGTACGTTTATACACAATATATGTTTATTTTAGATATGGTTATATTATCAATGTATTTCCACCCAAACTGGCCTCGCGTGTAAGCGGGCCAATAAATATAGATACTTATATACAGATGTGTCGGTAACGGGAACAGTGTCGTTAACAAGTTATTGAAGTAGTGACACTTTTACTATTGGTTTTTTTCCCATTTCAAAATATGTGTTTTTTGTTAGACCACAAAATACATTAAATATTTCGTTTGTTGTTCAAAGATGCTCTGCTAAAGAAGTTTACACTTAATAAAACCGGTGTAAAAAAAAGCAAATCTTTCGTTGCTTTTAACCGAGTGAGTGAAATCACCGACGTCCAAATTCCATCTACTCTTAAATGCTAGGGGAGGGAGGGACTCAAAAGGCGACAAGGCACTTGTGTTTTGAGTTGCATATACGAGAGAGAGGAGACAATTCTGATCGTTTGCCTATACCATAAAAATGAAATCTATTAAAAACAAATGTATTTATTACATTTTAATTATTACTAGCATTTGCCCGCGGCTCCGACTGCGTGTGTGTCGGTTATCGCAGTAAAAAATAGCCTATATTACTCGGTGATAATGTAGCTTTACATTGGTGAAAGAATTTTCAAATCGGTTTAGTGGTTAGGGTACTTAGGGTACATCTGGTTCCCCGGCTACTGGTACCCGAGATGTAAGCATTTCGAAATGTTCAAGTATAGTCAATCTGTCTGTTGGGTTCAGACAGAGCCTGCCCGGTTTCAGTCGTTCGTGTGTGTAAAATGTGTGAGGTTTTTATTGTTATAAACATAATTTTGTGACAAGTGAAGTCGAGGACAATACTAGTTAATAAAACCACTATAAACATCTAGTTACTAACAATATTACAGTTAATATTGTCTGCTTACTGTGACATATAACTTGATTTATCCTTATTACTAGCACAAAGAGTTTCTTCTGGAATTTTACGGAATACTCTAACACAATCACTCTTCCTCGCCACGTATTGTTTAGTGAACTTAAGTTTTCGTGTCATTTTTCCCTTCAACTCCTGAAAAAAGAAGATACGATTGAAAAGATACAATACAGTTTATTTCTATAGCATTAGTATCTTTCTATTTTGTGGTAAAAATCTTATCGAAAAAACAGATAGACTTTGACATAATTTATAAAAAGCTATGCACTTTACCTGCTCCTGACCCAAGCAGACGTATTACAAGAAATCTTTTCACCCCAGTGTCTCTTGCCCACACATACACATATGCGTGCATGCACACAAGAACACATATACACTCGCGCACACAAATGTACGCACACGCACGAATACATACACATAACACAAACACACATTTGGATAAAATATGGTCACACCTCCAAAGTTACATGAGTTTATATTATATTAGTACTTACCCTATTAATATAAATTCATGTCTTAGGATATCGGTATGTCATAATTTCATGATTGATTTTTAAAATACAGACATAAGCCTAGTTAGGAACCCAGTTTCAGAACTTTTTGTGCAATACATTATGTTTAGTATCACATGTCTATTCCTGTGAATATATTCTTCGGTGTCAAATAAACATTTTTTTTTCATTAGGTAAATTTAATAATCAGATTGTGCGCACAAGACGGCATTTATGTCAGATGTAATCTCTTCCAAGTAAGGATGGGTCAAAAATAGAGTGGTGTGTCTCGTCAGACATATTTTTGACCCACTGGACGAAGTATCTTGAGTAAAGTAAATCAAGAAGTTAGTTTTAGGGTTCCGTTTTTTAAATAGAAAGGATCAACTCTTTTAGGTATTTCGTTATATGTTTGTATGGTTCAAAAATGTTATGTATCTTAATTATTATTCTTATTATTTTTTATGTTAGAGAGGGCAGACGAGCAGACGGTTCCCCTGGTGGAAAGGGACTATCGTCGCCCATGTTTTTTAAAACATAACATACAAATATGCAGATGTAACAACTACCTAGAGACTGAAAACCTATGAAACTATAAAATAAACATATAGATCAATGCAAACAATAGATTCAGTCATTTGCGACTTATCTATATTTTAGTCAGCTTTAATAAATAGCACTTGATTAAACTTTGATTTTGATTAATTAAAAATTGATTTTGTTATTACAAATTGAAATTTTTGTGCTTGGGCAATTGACTGTGAATTATATTAATCTTACATCGATAGATGTATTTTTAAGGTTTTCTACATACATATTTGTACGGAACCCTTAGGGCGCGAGTGAAGCGTGCACTTGATTTTTTCATGTGCCTTAGATTAGCTTGGGTATAGTAGACTATACAGAGCCCTACAGCGTTAATTACAAAGGCCCAAAATCAATATTTAATAAAATCCAAAAAAATAAAGCATGTATTCATCATCTCCCATACTTCCTCAATTTTCTCATCTATCAATCCTCTTACATTCAGCATAGCAAAAAGACACTCTGACCCTCTGTTTGCCCTATTATTTATAAAACCGTACAGCTCTCTTAAAAAATAAAACTCGATAAAAATGGACTAACAAAAGCTTGAATATTTAAATAAATATTCAACAATGCATTATACTGTAATTAAATAATAAATTCTGCAATTTATTTGTAAAGGTTCATCTGTTTTTATTTATATATAGTTTAGAAATACTTACATCAATTAGTCCCCAGCCGGCTGCAATTGCCTCGTCATGATAAGGTGGATGCTTCATCAACACCACACGTTTAACATGTGAATTAAATTTCAATGGAGTCTTAAGTTTCCCCAAAGCGATATCATGAGTTACCTTTACGTCGTTGTATTTTTCATGAACCACGTAACTTTGAACTGAATGTGATATACCACTATAAATATCCTCGCTCCCAACTGATGCAGTCAAAGACAACGAGCCAGCACATCCACTCAGACAATGGCCTGCTGTTAAAATCATGTGCTGGTTTATGATAGAGGAGCCACAGATACATACTTCTGCGTCTGTGTCTTTCTTTAGTTTGCATGAAATACTAAGGAATGCGGAATGAGGAAACGCCGATATTTTTGCATTTTTACCATGAACAACGAACGCTTGCATCTCACATCTAGCAAGACCTAGAAAATGTGAAATAGTAAAAATGAATTGAATCGGTTTCATATTACTGAAGAACTGATTTGAAATTTGAATTTATGTAGTCATAATAATTTCAGTAATGAAAAAGTACAGTAATCAATTCAATTAACTATTAAATTTCATGCATTTTCTGTAGTAGCTATTAACAGAAAAAACGAATAGTCAATTTGAAACAAGAACTAGGTAAGTGTAAAAACTGTTTGGAAAAAACTTTATTTAAACTCACAATCCCACTGGTTCAAAAAGGTTTTAGAATAGTGGGTATCTGAGGGATATATTTTGAGGAATCAAGGTTCAGCTAGCCGTAGCACTACTGCGAAGACAATAAGTCAAGTGTAGAACATGCCTCGTCAATCGTCACTGAAACTTGGCCTGAGTGGCGTCGTGCTACCTTCTCCTAATCACTGATGTAGGTGACCTGTTTTTAACAGCTATTCCTAGACCCCTTCTACTACAGGCGCAGAGTGTGTATGGTTTTACTCGGTTTGAATCCGACACTTCGCCCCTCCACAAACCCTGATTGAGTGACGGCCCGATTTCGAAACGTACGTACGAGATTATAAGCTTGAATTTCATCACTGTGGTAGTTATCTTAAGAATATAGCACTCTACATCCTAAACGAGCACTGTGACGTCTTTTGTATTTGAATATGCCCTTTGTTAGGACAGGATGATGTCGTTCAGTGGAAGCTAAAGTATCTGTGATCCTGATTCTTTTGAAGTTGCGGGGGGGCAGCTAGTTATAGGATATAATTGATAGAAAAATAACTAGTGTCTTATTATATTGTATTGTATAAATACATATATTAATCCACATAATCAATAAAAATTAAAAGGCAGTTTTTTTTTAATAGCTTCTGGTCTTCTTCAATAATATTTTTATTGGTAATATTATATTAAAAAAAGACATTGTCAATCGTCGCAAAGTAAACGCATAGCGATTTCTATAATCCAATTATAAAAGAATCCTATATCTGTATAGACGATCACTTGCTTGCTCGTCCTAGGCTTTTTGTAGGACACCAGTCCGATTTGAATGTAACCGCGAACGACCAGAGCACTGCCCGAATCACCTCTGTAAAAAAGAGACTGTTAAGTTTTGACGTAAATGTAATAATTATTGTTAGTCATTGTATTGTCTATGTGTATTACGTATGCTTTATTTGGATTATTTTTATTGCTACGAGTATGGTAGTATGGTATAGTCCGTGTGGTGACGGATTAAGAATACAGAGTGTTACCACCCCTATTCATCCCGTGGGTGTCGTAAGAGCCGACTGAGGGAAAAAACTACGCAGAACAACAGCGCTGCGGTAGAAGGAAAACTTGACACAAACCCTATACCAACACGTGTGGCCAGCGTGGTATAGTAGGCCAAGACCTCCTTTTTAAGAAGAGGCCTATGTCCAGCAGTGGACTGTTATAGGCTGTTGATGATGATGATGAAGTTTTGACGTAAACGTCTGAGTAATAATTATTGTTAGTCATTGTATTGTCTATGCATATTACGTATGCTTTATTTGAATTATTTTCATTGCTACGAGTATGGTAGTATAATGAAAATGCGTCATATGTAAACAAACATGAGACTATATAATACGTTTGACATTAGCTTGATTCATAGCGTCTGTACGGGTTATGGTTACCGTACAGGAACCTAACGGTATGGTAACCGCAAATACACTGTTTTCATGTAATGGTGAAATAACGTAAATCGAAGTAAATCGCTGACCGCGCGCAACGTGATATAGCGCTGCTTGTGTCTATCCGTGAATCGTACAGCATCTATACAAATAAATAAAATTGAAGTGTTTATTTGTAATGTCAAAATAATAGGATTTTTTTCGTGCTCAGATGGTTATTTGCACGATACCTATCTGTACCTGTCTGTATCTGTTTGTCTGTCTGTCGGTTCCGGGTAATCTTCTAAATTGCTGGACCGATTTTGATAATATTTTACAACAGGTAGCTGTTTATATAAGGAGTAACCTGGACTTAGAACTTACTTACTCCCAGAAAAAACACTTTGAGATTTTGCCCGGTCCGGGAATCGAATCCACTAAGGTAGCGCTTTTCAAATTCCACGCGAACGAGGTCGCGCTTACAAGATTGTTCATTATAAAATAAAATCAACGTCTGCGATTAAAGTTAACATCGCAAAAGTGAATGAAATAGTGACTGAAAATCCTCATTCAACATTCATCTCAGTCGATCCGTACCATTTTAACTAATCATTTGGGTATGAAACATGTTACCGCTCGGTTAGTCTTAAAAGACCTGAGACTCTCAACAAACACCATAGAGCAACCACCCAGCCGACTTCTTTATTTTCCTAAACTCAAATTACCATTTCGTGGCACCCGTTTTCAATCAGTAGAAGACATAAAGGAGAATTCGCGGCGAGAACTGAACTCAATTTCGGAAACAGCTGTTAAAAAATGTTTTGATGATTGGATTATTCATTGGCGTGTATCTTTTCTGAAGGAGCATACTTTGAAGGTGATAAAATGAATTTGGATGAATAACAAACACTTTGTGGATTATTACAGAGTAGTACGTTTCCTGTAAATATATATTATTAGTAGGTCCATAGGCTTTATTAATAGAATTACGTAACGAACTGATAAGTTTCTTACAACTTTGATCCCAAACATTAAACAACCAACCATGATTCGTTTACAATTCAAGTGAAATTGTCTACAATTCTTTTCCATTAATTTGTTTTATTTTATAAATTGTTGACTCCAACAGACACGTGTGTTAAGCTTATTGGTACATTTGAAATCAACGTTACCTAGATGCATAATCTTTTTCATTTTCGCTCCTGCACAAAAAGTACCTCTAGGTATACTCTTTAAGAGTTTCGAGCAATCTGCCAAGTCCCAGACACGTTGATTTATGGATTTGAGCTTCGTTCCAAAAGTATTTGTCTTCTTAAAAGAGAATAAATTTTAAAATTACTACAAGGAAAATAACTTTCAAAAACTTTTTGATAATTTGATGACACACCAAACTAAACTGAATATACTATAAACAACTATAACTGATTGTTTGATATATGGGAAAGTAGTGTTTCACGATTAGTTTTTAATAAAATATCCTAAATATTTCACTGTATATTTCTGATGTCAACTAACTGACAAATGTTTTTATTTTTATGGCAATATGAAAAATCCTGTAGCCATAAAAATCCTTCTATTTTTTTTATCGATTTAGTAAAAAGATACCTTTTATTTATTTATTTATTTGAAACTTAACAGATATGTTACATGTATCATGGGTGAAGTTAAACATTTCAATGGACTCTTAGGCAATAATAAAGTTTCGTGATAAGTAAAAATTGCGTGCACCACTTCAACATAGGCAATACTACTATCACTTATTTGGGTATTTTGGGTATATTGTGCAGAGTGAGAAGTATTCCAAAAGAAAGCAACTTACAAAACAATCTTGATTTGGATTCACAAGAATGATTGAAACCTTTTAGCGACTTATTTTTTAAAGGCACTTTTTGAGAGGTGGAAGATGTCAATATCGTCAAAATTTCGAGTGAGAACTCTGCACCGCACCAATTAGGGTAATAATGCTTCTTACCCTAATTGGTGCAGTGCAGAGGAACACATGTCTAGTACGAGCCTTGGGTGCATTTAAGCTAATATTAGAGAGAAGGTCGATACTATCAATTTAACTTCGAATAATAGCGAATAAAAAGCTCATGTCTAGTAACACACGCCTACGATAGAGGCAGTAAATCATAGTGCTTACAGTTTAATCTTTACATTTTTTTTTGTTTATGTTAGAGGGAGCAGACGAGCAGACGGGTCACCTGATAGAAAGTGACTATCGCCGCCCATAAACGTCTGCAACTCAGGAGTCACAAACGCGTTGGCGGAAGAAGTACGCTCTTTTCTTGAAGGTTTGAAGATCGTATCGGTCCGGAAATACCGCAGACGATAACCATAGCTTATTTAATTTATACCTCTTCATTGTTCACTACTAGAATATTTTTTTGTATAGATATGGATAGACATCTACATTTTAGTATTACAGACAACGTTAACACAGATATTTTCAAATTTGAATTATAGTGTTGCTGTGAAATCAAAAAGTTATTTTAGCAAATCGGTGTCTTCCCTTAATCTTCGGAGAGGGTCCTTTACTTAACTTTTTTTAAAGCAATAATACAAATATTTGTGTTCCAAATTATCATCATCATCATCATCAACATAAACAGCCTTTAATAGTCCACAGCTGGACATAAGCCTCTCCTTAGAAAGGAGGTTTTGGCCTACTATACCACTGCCCAGACGGGTTGGTATAGGGTTTGTTTCAAGTTTTCCTTCTCTCTGCAGTGCGGTTGTTAGTCTTAGTCGCCTCTTACGACACCCACGGGATGAATAGGTGGGGTGGGTCACCACCCACCCCACCTATTCATCCCGTGGTACACACTAATAATACTATACTATACTAGGATAGTATTATTAGTGTGTACCACGGTAACGGAGTGACACAGAGTATCACCATACTCTGTGTCACTCCGTCACCACACGGATGTATACTAGTATAGTATTACTAGTGTGGATTACTGGGTGTCATGTCTCTCAAACACAAAGGGAGGATCCTCCGAAAAGGCGAGGTGATCATGCCAGGCGATCACATTAGTGTGTGTTCTATTCCCATCACACATGTATTTTATTCATAATATGTATGTATATAGATATGCATAAGTATATTTATTAGTTGTTTCGTTATTATAACAATCGACTTACATTGGTGACTCCCCATCCGGCAACCTGGGCTATTACTTTATAAGGCGGTTTATTCATAAGTACAAAACGATTAACATTGATGTTTAAATTAAGAGCAGTTGTAAGCTTCAGTAGGCCGATAATATTGTTCATGAACGAGATAGCTCGATCCTGATGATCGGAATCGGATTTGACGCGCAGCAGTTTTGACGCGCG